TGTGTGTGTGTGTGTGTGTGTGTAAGAGAGAGAGAGAGAACATGCACCCATGTAAATCAGGCATGTTTTGAACAGAAACATAATTTAATTTCCACTTGTTCAGGTACAATTCTGAGAAAAAACAGCTAGCTTTCACTAATGTCAATCCACTACAGATAAATGTTCGAACGTACCTTGCAGTAAGGGATGTGAAACAAGATCTTTTTTGAGAGGTGACCTAGGCAACACTCTAACTCCTTCTGTCACAGCAGATGATGACCCGCCACCAGACTTTCCACTGCTGCCTGAGGTGACGGTTGGAGGTTTACTCCCCACCTCATTGCACAAACGATCGAACTCTATCTTGGCCTGATTCTTCAAACGTTTCAAGTAGTTCATGACACTGTAGCTCAAGGAGTTGTCCAGACTATCTGGGATCAGTGATTGAGACAGGCTACCTTGAACTCCCATTCGTGTCAGTGCTCTTCTCAAGGCCTGATTCAAACATCAAACAAAAAAAGAACATTTTCACATTGACGGTATTAAAACAATATTAAATACGATCAGAATGATTTCATTATACTCGGTCATGAATTCAATCAATAATCTATAACTTTAAAAAAAGGTACATAACATTTCATTACAGCATGCTTCGGAGAACTTATATTTTTGGACTTTATGAGCCATGTATTAGCAGAGATGTTCTAGTCTACATATAAGTGAAACCCCCACTTAATGTTCCAAAATTTAAAGTTTGTCTCAGTTAATGTTCAATGTCAATGATTTCAAGTCCATATGATCTCCCTCTCAACCATTTAAGATTTTCCTCAATTTAGCATTCAAATTCACTTTTCCTTAAAGGAACCTTAAATGGGAGTTTCACTGTAATATTATACTACATCTCATTTGCAAGATTTCCTTTAACGTAAGTTTAATTAAGTTAACTGCAACATGAAGGCACTATATGGGCCATGGAGGTATAGAAATTGTATCTGTAGATCCAAAGGTTTGAAACAATATCATTAAAACACTAGGAACAAAGATAGGTTAGAAAATATAGCAATGGTCTACAGGCGGATGATCAGGGTTCGATTCCCAGCAGAGGAAAGATTCTTCTTTATCCCACAGCATCCAGAATTGCTCTGAGGTCCACCCAGCCTCTTATCCAATGGGTACCAGGGGCTCTTCCTTGCAGGTAAAGCAGCCAAGGCATGAAACTAACCACTCACCTCCATGTAGGGCTGAGATCATCAAAGGTGGAGCTATACCTCCACCTCCCATATGCCTTCATGGAGAATTTACCATTTCATTAAAACACAACAGGGCTATTCAACTTGAAGGAATGGATAATTCAGAAAGATATCAGATCAACCTCTATTGTAAGGTTTAATGGTTAAGAAAATTATGAACACAGAGTAGTCCATGATATAAACAGTAATTTCCTCATCTGGCTAACTTACAAATGGCTGCCATTCTTTGCCAGCAATAAAAGTGTTCACAAGATATAATTGTTAAAAAACACATCTTTAGTCTACTCATATATTGCACAGGATTAATGGTGATGGGGAACATATGGTTAATGGGACTACTTAATACTAATCAAACGAGTTTTCATGGCAGCTGACATGTAAGAAAGCTTTGGCTTCAAAGATATGAAAGACAATGAAATGTGTCAATTAGAGATACATTCCTTCATTTACAGTTTTGTTCATTAACTGGTTAGGTTAATTACAATTAATTCAATCATGAATCTGCATGATCTATTTAACAAAAACAGTGATACACTTACATAATATCACTTCTGGTACTGCCTTTTGTGAATATAATATTGAAATTTGATGTAGCAAGATCTTGAAATTTAATACCAGATGTTATCATTTCCCTCCTTAGACATACTGATCTTTAAACCACAAAAATACAACATATTTAATGCACTATCAATTAATGTCAGTGGATATTATACCAATGAATACAAGGGAATGTTATTCATTGCTGAATTCATCTACTTTTAATTTATCCCAAGCGTATAACTACATACAGCACATAGAGCCATAGTAGCAAAAAATTGGGAATGACTATAAAAAGATCCACCTCAATTTCTGGAAAACCTTTAAAACTGTAACAGCTACAATAATAGCCCACATCCTTATATACATCAAACCAAGACAGCAGATTTACTATGATTAAAAGGCACACTGCCAATTTTATCAAGTCATAAGTTATGTCGCCAAAGGGTGATTAAATTTTCTCATCATCATCAGTAATCTGTCCAAGACGACAGGTCCAGTCTCTTCCAAAACAGTTCCTCCACTTGATGAGATCTAGAGCTTTCTCCTTCAAATGAAAATATCCTCTTCTGTCCCCAAGGTCATCCAGCATCTTCTTACGTCTTCTTGTCACTTCTATCCGCCCCTCTATCTTTCCTTCAATAACTACTTTTAGAAGGCAGTTACTGCGTAACATATGACCAATCAAATTAGCCTTCCATTTTCTTATTTCGTGTAGGATATTCCTCTGCTCACTGACTTAAAATAACACTTCTTCATTTCTCACATAATCGGTCCAACTGATCTTCTCCATCCTTCTCCAACACCACATTTCGAAGCTTTCTAGGTGTTTCTGATCTACTGCCCTAAGTGTCCAAGTTTCAGCCCCATACAAAGCAATGCTCCAAATGTAGCATTTCACTAGTTTCTTTCTCAAATATAAATCCAATTTGCTGGTAAAAAGATTCTTCTTCTTGCTAAATGCAGCTTTTGCCATGGCAATCCTAGATTTAATTTCACACATACACCTTCCATCATCTCTTAACAAGCTACCCAAATATCTAAAACATTTTACATTCTCCAGTTGTTTTTGGTCTATCTTTATTGTGACTGGGGTTGGTTGTCTCGAAATTTTTATTACTTTTGTTTTTTCCACATTCATTTCCATGCCATAGCACCTTCCAATTTCGATTAGTCTATCAATCATACCTTGTAGCACAGTAAAGTTTCTATATACAATTAAAGCAAGTTTCTGTATGTAAAAAGTAAAAATAAAATTATTTAATTAATTCCTGGTACTCATTTCTGTTAGGGGCTGAGTCGATCCCAGGGCCATAGTGCGACCGGAAGGATTAGGTCAACTGAAAAAAATCCAATGACCTCATCGGGACTTGAACCTGCGACCTTGTAAAAGCAAGTCTTTGGTAAGCTATACATAATTTGATTGAAGAAATTGATTAGAATTTTCCCCTTTACATAACTATTATTTTGCAAACTTCCACATGTGTGAACAGATACAGAAAAAAGAAAAGTAATTATGTTTATGTTTGGCTGGCGAAACAACATATTGTTGTCGGCCATTTTGTTAGGAGTGATACTGGTCACGTGATGCAAGCTATTGGCAACACGAGACACCAAAGGTTAACGCAGCAGCTGGTTCCACCTACCACCGTACTCTTTTGTCTGCTGTTCCCAGGTTGCACGCAAAAGAAAGTTGCTCATGACTTCCAGTACGACCTACGTATCTACAGCTGTATCCAAATTTGGCTGGATTTTAAAATATGAACCCTTTGATCAAAAGCATGGTGCTTTATTTTAAGACCATTAAATGCTTTACATATTAAATACCATACTGGGGCATTCTTAGATTACTAATGACACCAGTTTGAGAGTGGAGGTTATGTAGCACCAAATGAGAAGGGAGGATGATGAAAATGAATAGCCATATAGGAAAGCATTTGGGAGGAAGAATAATAACTTATTATTATTATTATGATTATTATTATTAAGTGCTATCAGGGCATTTGCCTGGCAAGGCTGTGGGAAACTACAAAACACCTCTGGACAGCTGGTAATGCTACCAAGGTCAGAGCAGGGTGCATCTCAAACACAAAATCAATGCATTTAATATTAAACACTGTATTCTGTAATTTTTCCAGAGAACTGGAACTTGAATTCTGTACTCTTACTAGCTCACCCCTGCATAATATGTTGGCATTGTCCGTAAATAGTTCTGGAACTGTATGCGCCATTCATTGGTGGGTTTCAGGCGATGGACTTTGAAGAGCTCTTCCAGTAGAGGTAACAGCACTGGATAGTTGTATGGCATTACAAATAGATTCACACATGTCAAGTTTGTACTGGCTTTCAGGTAACCAAATGGGTGACCCACCTCTGAGTTCTTGTAGCTGTTTGCAACAAACACCTGCACAGAGGGATCCACCATTTAAATAACTGCACACATTTAAATATGAACTATGATTATACCACATTTACCAGTACAACAATAACGATAACAGTAACAGCAGGTATGGTAAGAGTAGATATAAATACCAAGATAATAAGGAGGGTCATAATTTGTATTCTTCAATCATTATCATTAGAGTGATTAAACATGTAAGTGAGAGAATTAAAACACATAGCATGCAAGAGATAAATTGAAAATGCAGGCAAAATGGCAGTCAAACAGCCTTGGGAGAAGACTAACACTACATATTTCAGTCCATGTACCATCATCATTATCATCATGTGTAAACAATTAAATAAACAGAATGTATTATTACTCAACTGCAAGGTTAAATAGAACCATTTTTACAAAATGTCATGACAAATTTCTTATGTAAGATAATGAAACAAAAATATAAAAAATGGATCATAGTAGGCTGTTTAAATTGTTGAGAGGTTAAAACAGTTAATTTGGGGGAGGTGGGGGTGGCATGTAATTACGGCACTGTTTAAATGTTATGGGAAGGATGTATATGATCAGCTGAGTGGAAAAAGCAAGACTGTCTACTGACAGTTTTTAACATTACTCCTGCAGTCACATTCCTCTAGAAATGTCTTGAAGTGGTGTATATGTAACAGACCCTGTGAGGTGTAACAGGTGTGTTGTAATGAGGTGGGATCTCATGTATAGTGCTGTAATATGGCATGAGTACGTAGTAGTTGGTGTCTGGTGGAAGTTGAGTCCTGAATATGTAGCGGAGTGTGAGTTGTATAATATCGTAGTAGTTATTTCATGTGGATGATTTATGTAGCAGAATTTGCAGGCACGGTTAGAACTATGAGGTTGCTGCTGTAATGTGTATGGAATGTGGCTATCTGGAGTTTCAGGAGATAACTGAAGTTACTAGTTGTAAAATAATACTCTTTCCATCTGTAATTAAATAAATACAATGCTACTTAGAATTTGTGGATCAGCATAAATTAAGCTGTGGACCATTAATTGAGTAGAAGACATAAAATGTGAGTATAATAAATAAAAAAATATTGTTGCTATCTGCATATCATTTTATTGCTTACCTGCCAACACACTGTGGGTTGCTTACGAGCCAGGATAAACTGAGTAAGGGGGCTTGGTTCCAGCTCGTACTTGTCAAAAGGCAGATTCTCAATTACCATTGGTTCCTGACTTGTGCATGTAAATTTCACATTAGGATGCGCCGAACGGGGTGGCTGAATTGAACACATCAAGTAATTATAACTCCATAAATCAAACATGTCAAGCTGACCTCAGGATCACTGAGTATGTTATGTCCTTGTGAATTTCAATATTTAATATATTACAAACATTATACGTATCTATTCAATGTATAGACACTTAACATAGTAACTAAACAGGGTTTATAGAGTTCTATAAAGCCCTCATCAAAAATGTGATAAAGCCTAAAAATTCACACTTTATAACATTCATACTGAAAGCCCTGGTGCAGCTTCACTATTAGGGTGACCAACTCTCCCATACTTCCCAGGAAGCTAATTTTTTGGAACCTTCCGGCTCCCGTATTGACCTATTTCCCTTCTATACTTCATTAACAATCAGAAGCACAAAATTTAAATTATACATTATTCCCATTAAATACATTTCATGATTTTAGGCCATAACTGCAGGAGGTGATTTCCTAGGTCTTTGTGATCAAAAAAGTTCATATAAACATGTGTCTGACTTTGGACGGTTACAGAGTTAGACCGTTTTTTCATTCCCGTACACGCCCTCGTGTGAGCCGCATCTGTCAGCTGGCAGGTCGCTATTTTTAGCCAGCTACAGACAGAGCGTACTCATTACCTCGACACTTGAGAGCTACCTACGGTGGGGTGGGTTGGTATGTTCGGCGCGGTTCACAACCGAACGGCAGCCTGTGTTGCGGCCGGCGGTGGCATTTTCTAAAATCAGCTTTAAACACCAATAAATTCAAATTAAAGGTAATTTCACGAAGTTAACTTTACACTCACACTTTAAATGTATCATGTATTATGCTGGTTTATTATTTTGTTCCATTTATTGTCAGTAATCGTTACCTTCTATTCTGAGTTTAAAACGGTCATAACTCTGTAACCGTCCAAAACCTGACACATGTTTATATGAACTTTTTGATCACAAAGACCTCCTGCAGTTATGCCCTAAAGTCGTGAAACACCCTGTATATACTGACATTATTATCAATAGTTCAGACTTAGAGGTACTCATCAATATCAAAAAATTACACATAATAATTGATAGTTTAGTACATACTAATCAATAGCAGAATATTCGTTTCTGGATATATTCATCCCATGCTTTTAAATTTTACCAAACTGAATCTATTTTCATAACGAGTAGTGACAGTGAAAGTGAACACAACAGTGCAAAAACTCCATCTAAGAAGAAAACTAAATGCTTGTGTTTAGTTGAGAAAATGGGAAGAACAATATTCTTTGTTAAAGTTTGTGCCCGCCAACGTTTACAGAGCTTATTGTACACTTTGTTAACATGAGTTTAGCATCGCTCACAATGGTAATAATGACTGCAGGCAACATTTCTTGCACAGGAGGACATAAACAAGAGGAAAGAGATATGAAGACATCTTCAAACTTGCTCCTCTTATTTGGGAACAGAAGCAAAGACTTCAAAAACGTTGCGAGTGGACTAGTATTGGTTTTCCATATTGTAAAACACAGCATCAGCTATAGAAGTATGGATTACCCAAATAAGCCATTAAAGGATATTTTCCATACCTCTAACTTGGCTAAGAAGATGCCCTGTGGCAGAACAAAGGCAGAGGCCATTGTGAAAGATGTTCTAGCACCAAGAATTGTGCAAGACTTCATCGATGTTTTGAAGTATCCATCAAAATCAAACATCTTTTTCTCTACTGTAACTGATGCCTCCAATCACAAAAACAGAAAGATACTCCCACTGGTTGAGAGGTATTTTGAACTTAGCGGTGTCAAAAATAGGCTCCTGAACTTCATTGAACAAGCTGATGAAACAGCTAATGCTATCCATAATTTGATCAAGTCTTCACTTGATACACACAAGTTAGATATAAAAAAAAAATATGACTTCATATTGTGCAGATAATGCAAATGTGAATTATGGGAAGCTTAATTCTGTATCCAAACTGCTTTAAGATAGAAAAAAATGTGCTTAAAGCAAATTGCTCAAATCATACACCACATAATGCCACAAAACATACATCTGATGGATTAGATCTGGATACTGAAATGATCAGCTTAAAAATATATGGACACTTCTCGGTATCAGCAAAAAGAGGAGAAGAGTTGAAGTCATTCTCTGATTTTTTTGATGCTGAGTCGTTGGAGACTGCCACGTGCCCACTTTCCCTATCATCATCTGTGGACAGATTATTACATAACTGGTTACCTATTAAGAGTTCTTCAAAAGTGTGAGTGACTTTCAAAAAATATTAAAAAAAAAAATTTCAGTGATGAAGATCTAAAAACAGAGTGTGTTATTGAGGCATATCTTAATGGCCTTACTTGTTCAATCTGACAAAACTCTTGAAACTGCCAATCATAGCATCATTGAATGCTACAGTGTAATGCAATGTTTAGATAATAAAATTCAGCAAAGGATATGACAGGTTCTTTAGTACTGCCATGAGAAAAATTTAAACTGTTTGAATCCATCCCTGCAGAAATCTGCTACAGTTGATTTTGTTAATTTCTAGTGTTGCTTGCAAAAGTATATTTCTAAGAATTCTGAGTTATCAAATGCAAATCCTGTCCATTGTCTTTTGCCATTAATTTTAAACACTGAACTTTCTTTCAGACATTGCAAACCATTCTTTATTTTGTAAATGTATGAACAGTTTTCTAGTGCAAAAAGTGTTGTGAATGTGGTAAAAACAGGAAGTATAGAACAAAGTTGGCTCAATATTTTCAGTGATTTAAGAAAAAAAAAAAACAAATTTATATGCCAAACCTTAATAATATCTTTCTTTTAAGCATCCCAGTCTCAAATGCCCATACTGATAAGAGTTCTTTTTCACTTATCAGCAATAAATGGACTGAACAGAGAAATCAAAGCAGCTTAGAACTCACAGAGATATTGGGTTTTCGGACTTTATCCATCGTCCTGGTTTTTAAGATAACTAAGAAAAAACATGATGTTTCGGAAACTGGATCTGTTTCCGTCCTCAGGTGAGGTAAAACATCTATTCTGTTGGGTCCCTTAGAAAGAGCTAGCCTCAATCACTGGACCCAACAGAATAGGTGTTTTACCTCACCTGAGGACAGAAACAGATCCAGTTTCTGAAATGTGTTTTTTCTTAGTTATCTTAAAAACCAGGACGATGGATAAAGTCCGAAAACCCAATATCTCTGTGTGTTATACACCGTCGTCAGAATCCTATAGTAACTATCAGCTTAGAACTAATTAAGTCAGAGCTTATGGCAGCAATTCATTATGACCATAGTTGTAAAGAGTTTTTTAAATTTGCACAAGATAAAAAAAATGTTTAGTTCTGCAGCATCAGTAGACAAATACATATAAATAAAGACTAAGTAACATGGAGATTTGAAATTTTTATTCTATATTGTGACCTGTACATTATATACAATGTAAATTAACTGCTTTGTTTAACATTATCCATTCCCTGAACATTTGCTGCAGTGACATGGCCCCTTAAACAGTGTAAAATTGAGGTTTCACTGCAATATTAAATGCTCCTGCAGGTAAGTCTTTATATCAGCCCTGTCCAATGCGGCGCCCATGATATATTTTTCTGACACCCTCCGTGAGAACATATAATTGAGCCAATTTTTAATATTAATTCAAATTTTAAGACAAGATATATTTTTGAACGTCTGAGTACTGTTAAATATTTTCACAAAATGTCCTTGAAGCATGGTACAGTATTAGACATTCCTTGAAAATTTATACCTATTTTTTTCTCCCTTGCTAACAACACCAGTCTTAATTCTTTTTTCACTAGAGAAACCGTCATCCTCTCAAGATCAGGTAATTTTCCCTAGCTGTATTTTTACCCCTCAAACAGTCGCAAGTCCCCACTGAATCTGCTTTCATGGATTTCAGATTTATGGCCAGGGTATCATAAAATTAGTAGTAGTAGTGTGGTGGCGCCTGCACCTGCATAGGCATCAGTGAATTGTGCCCGAGTACATAAGAACGTTGGACAGCACTGCTTTATATCATTCACATTTGCAGATTATTAGCTAATGAGTTATGACTTAATTTTGTGGAAAACTGTTTTTCTTAAGAAGTGTTTGGGAGATATCAAGCAACTACATCATTATGAAACTTACCAAAGAAGAGGAACTCAGATCAGGCCAGAATGACTCGGGAATTGGCCAAAATCCAACAGCAAAACCTTTCTGTGCTGAACGTGGCACATAGATGAGGCGTCTACAAGTGTGCCAGGCAGTACTACTACTCGCTGACAAGGGATTAACTGCGTTATTGCCTGGCACACCATTACTCAGACGCACCTATTAAATAAGTAAAACATACATACAATTCAAATTGGTCATCTGACACTTAGTATATTTCTACTGTTGCCGTCTTGTCACCAGAATGCAGGGCAAAATCAAAACATAAAAACAACTAACAGACATTTTGAAAATGTGGTACAAGTCAAATATTTGGGAATGACAGTAACAAATCAAAACTTGACTCAGGAGGAAATTAAGAGGAGACTGAATTCAGGTAATGCTTGCTATCATTCAGTCCAGAACCTTTTTTCTTCTCATCTGCTGTCTAAAAACATAAAAATTAAAACATACAGAACTATAAGTTTGCCTGTGGTTCTCAACAGGTGTGAAACTTGGTCTCTGACATTAAGGGAGGAACAGAGAGTGAGGGTGTTTGAGAACAGGGTGCTGAGGAGCACATTTGGACAGAAGAGAGATTAAGTGATGGGACGTTGGAGATAAATGCATGATGAAGAGCTTCATAACTTGTTCTCTTCACCAAGTAAAATTAGAAAGATCAAGTCGAGTAGGATGAGATGGGCAGGGCATATAGCATGAATGGGGGCAAGGAGGAATGCATATAGGATGTCGGTGGGAAAGCCATTAGGAAAGAGATCACTAGGAAGACCAAGACATGGGTGGGTGGATAATATTAAAGTGGAACTTAGAGAAAGGATAGGCTGCTATGGACTGGATCAATCTGGCTCAGGAATGGGACCAGTGGAGGGCTCTTATGAACACGGTAATGAACCTTCAAGTTCTATAAATTGCTGGGAAGTTCTTGAGTAGCTATACAAGTGGAGGCTACTCAAGAAGGGCTCAGTTCCATGAAATTAGTTAAATAATCACAATGAAAACAACAGTGTTGTGACCCAAATAGAGTGATCCACCATGAATTCCAAAACTGAAAATTCTTATGCAGTACACAAACATGGTCTTGGTTTATCCTACAATACACTGTAACTTTCCAGTTCTTGTACCACAGCTCCATTAATTAATCACAGCTGTCCAATAACTAATGGATTACTGTCTTATCTCATATAATTTTGTCAATTTTATTAATGAAGTGAACCAGAATTAGAATTTTGATATTTATCGTATCCGATGTAAATTTGTTTATGTATGTCCGCTTTATGTTTTATAATTGTTTGCATGTATGTTTGTTTTGTTTTTTGTTTTTGACATGTTTCAATTAATTATTGTAACTTAAATTTTGATCTTGTGACTCATTCTATATCCTATGGCTTGTGTTATGCCTGTATCAGGATCAATTAGAAAGTGAAATAAATGGAATGGAATGGAATGCTAACTTCAATGTTTTAATAAAAATTCAGCCATACATACCCCATTATTCTTGTTATTGCTGTCTTCTTCAGATGTCAGACTGTAGTCCTTATCCCATTCCTTGTCATTATTTCCTTTACTCTCTGAATCATTCTCAGCAATGGTTACATCTGAGTCGGCTTTTGTACCTGCATACAAGAATGTAACAGAAAATTTGGCAGCTTCAAAAGCATAATGGACGAAAGCATGCGGTTCTTAGAAATTCAGAGGTCTTCAGTACAACTGCAGCAGAATGAATGATAATATGTGGCTAATAACGTACAATTTCAATTACTAAATTCAGTCTCAGCTTGTTTCTTGATTTCTTTAATCACATTCTATCAACCGCTGACATTACACAGTATCAAATTAATAACAGGTTAAAAATGGTGAGGTAGAAAGTATGTGGAAGGAAGTAATTATAGATTCCAATCTCTCATTAAGCCACTACTCATAAGATACTACAGACTATAAACCTTTGGTAATATGATCAATGGCTAATTACTTCACAGCATGGCAAACCTAGCAGCATTTTACTGTTTTCCCATGAAAGGTAAAGTTATCACTGGGCTTAATTAATTAACCACAGCATGAAGACATATTTCTCATGTGGAAACAAGTTAGAATACCTCCACTGTAGCCCCGTGAGTAGTAGGTGAGAAAAAGAGAAGCCAGTGCCTGGGGTTATAACTGGGCAAACATGTCACTGGGGGGGGGATACAGAGACCTGGTCCTCCAGGTCAGGGGTTGTATGCAAGACTGACAACCTTGCTCTGTAAAATCTAATAAGACTAAAACTACATGGAATATTGTGAAAACTATTACAAACAAAAAAGGATCTGTTGATAATATAATTAAGATAAAAACAAATGATAAATTGTCAGAAAATCCAATTGATATTGCAGAAACTTTTAATAATTACTTTTCATCTATAGCTGAAAAATTACTCAACAATAAATTTTATAAACAATCTCCTGATAATAATAAGGATTTTTTATATTATTTACATCAAAATTCACACCAGTTATTTCCAAAAATGAACTTTAGTAATACTAATTCTTATGAAATTAAAAAAATAATATTGTCAATGAAACCGAAGAATTCTCATGGCTATGATGAAATATCATTGAAGATTATGAAATCTAGTGCCCCGTATATCCTGTCTCCCCTAACATATCTATGTAATAAGATACTATTAACTGGTATTTTCCCAGATAGGCTTAAGTTTTCTGAAGTTAAGCCTCTCTATAAAAAGGGTGATAAAACTGAAATCTCTAACTATAGGCCAATCTCACTTCTTCCAACTTTCTCTAAAATCATTGAAAAGATTATTTATAGAAGAATTTATTCTCATTTAAATAGGAATAATATATTGGCCAAGGAACAGTTTGGATTTAGAAAAGAATCATCTACTGAAATGGCAACATATAATCTTTTAGATAATATATTAACTTCTTTGGACAAAAAAGAATATGTGGGTGGATTATTTTGTGATTTACAAAAGGCTTTTGATTGTGTAAATCACAATGTCTTACTGGAAAAATTGAAATTTTATGGAATCTCGGGTTCAGCAATAAAACTAATGAAATCATACCTTGAAAATAGATATCAAAGAACGATTATAAATGATAATAATTTGAATAAAGTATCCTCTAAATGGATGATGGTCAAACATGGAGTGCCACAAGGCTCTGTACTGGGACCACTATTATTTCTTATTTACATTAATGATTTCCCATCTTCCTTAAGAAAACTAGCTCAGCCTGTATTATTTGCTGATGACACAAGTATTATTGTATCTAATTTGAATCCTGAAAAATTTAGAAGTAATGTTACCTTAATTTTTAATGAAGCAATGATATGGTTTAAAAAAAACTTTTTAACTCTAAATTGTGATAAAACACAGTTTTTACAATTTTTCCTAAAGAAGCATAGAGAAATAGAAATCCAAAGTACAATTACTAATACATTAATTACAAATATTAATTGTTCAAAGTTTTTGGGAATAAATATAGATAGTTCATTGTCATGGAAAAATCACTTAACTTTATTATCAGTAAGACTAAGCAAAGCATGTTTTGCAATAAGGGCAATAAAACCCTTTATGTCATTGGATACAATAAAGACGATTTATCACTCTTATGTGCATTCAATATTGAAGTATGGCATTATCTTTTGGGGTAATGCCCCTTTTAGTAAGAACATTTTTAAAATACAAAAAAGAATCATAAGAATTATGTCTGGATCAGGAAAATATGATTCTTGTAGGGAATTGTTTAAAAAGTTACAAATATTGCCACTCCAATCTGAATATATTTTTTCTTTGCTTCTCTTTGTTATTAAGAATAAAAATTATTTCAAATTTAATACAGAAATACATAATATTAATACCCGTTATAATTACAATTTACACTTACCCTTTACAAATTTATCAATTGCACAAAAAGGAGTCCTGTTCTCTGGAAGCAAATTGTATAATAAATTACCTTTGAATATTAAATCATCATCTGGAGAAATTAAGAAGTTCAAATTTTTATTGAGAAGATATCTCACTGAACATGCATTTTATAGCATTGATGAATTTTACCAAACTACTTCCCGATGAATATTTTTATAATACTTTATTAATAATTTATTTTTTAACACACGATTACATTAAATTATGTAAATGATTTCAGACTATTGTATGACTGTGACAGGTATATATGATATTTAACTGGTATGTGAGGCGTTATATTTATTGCTTATATTTATCTTGAAACTAAAGCGCATAATAATCTTTTGTACTTAATATATTTTGGGTGGAATTGTATATAGAAGATTCATGTTACTGATAATTTAAATTCTTTGTTTTAATCTGTTTGTATTTAATGAAATTGTTATTACACTGTGTACTATTTTATATCGTTTTTATTGTTTATCTTGACTGTTTCAATGTTTGGAACTTATTTTAATATTATTATTGACATGTTCTATATCCAGGGTTGTATTTCAACCTATGTTTTGGATTTACTGAATTTGAAATAAATGAAATGAAATAAAAAAATTATTACTGCTAAATCCAAAGCAGTGAAAACTGGATGCAATCTGGTAGAATCTTCTAAGGAAGGCTATGGCTCAAAAATGGCTGTTTTGCCAATGACTACAATAATGAAAATGCATAGAGGTGTGAAGTTATAGCTCTGTCACTCTCAACCTCCACACCAAATGGAGGTTTACCCATTGTATGGGAGGATGGGTAGGCTCCAGAGCCGGTCTGAATGCTATTGAGAAGAGAAAAATTTCTTCCCCCTGCTGTGAATCAAACCCTGACTACTTGGTCATCCAGCCCATAGCTTAGACACTATACTGAATAAGCTATCCCAGTTCCTACTGTTCTCCCATATGGACAATCATGTGATGTGTACAAATCTTTCCAACAAACATGTGACAAGTTTCTTCAAACTAAAACACACAGTGAGCTCACCACTTTAACTGTAATTAACACAACATCCCAACATAACTATAGGATACCAGATTGCACTTAACCCTTTGCATCCCAAGGGTCCTTCAGACCAGCTTTGCACATAAGAGTTAAAGCTGATACCACTGAAGTACTACTTCAATATTAATCACTTAGTATAACATTTCTTTGAATAGATCCCATAAGTGTGACATATCAGTTCTCAGAAAAAGGACCAGGATTTCATGCTAGCTACAGCCGTATTCACTTGAGGGTAATCCGTGACATATGTGCATTTTCATTAATGAAAGATTCCAGACATCCCTCCCTTTCACTCTTCAGTTAATGTGATGTGCCTATTTCAACTGAGAGGCATGAAGGCAGATTTTGAGCTTGAGCACACAGCAGTAATGTGTAGAGAGACAGAAGCTAGTTCAGTGCTCTCAGTACAAGTTGCTAGAAGAAGACAGTGAACTGGCACACAGTGAAATAGCAGTGAACAAGAACAACCCAACATCAAGATGTTACATGCCTACTGACAGTAAGCCAGTGACTGTTCAAGACACAATATGTTACACTATCAAGGGTTTTCTGTGCAACTACACATACTCCCAACCAGCTTTAGCATTTCTAGCAAGTAGTTTTGTGGTGGGCTTAGCAGTCAAAGGGTTAGAGCATTCGGGTATAAAGAATATTTCCCCGAGGTTTGGATTGAATAGTAAAGTAAACAAGATACTGTCATGTGTTGGGTAGGTCACGCGACAAATAACTTCACGCCGTTCTGGATATAGCGAATTTATTGCACATTCGCTCTTACGTTTATACAATTTGCAGTTCCAGAACTACTGCCATCGGCAGTATCACAATTACTTCTCCTGCTTCCATTCACTCCAGCGAATGTTAGACTGCAACTGACTGGTCACTATCTCTCACTGACGAATATTCCTGTTATGAAGCTTCCGCACTGATAACACAGAAAACAGTTATGTGGCATCGTGTTTACCGATTGCCTAGCAAGAGTCACTGCACTGGCTCACCTATTGTGTGATGCCATGTTTACAAAGGCGTTGCTGGGCAACACTGCGTAGCAGTGCACTTCGGCACGGACAAACACCTCTTTCCTTACTGTTGCATAACCTCGTTTCCACTATTGCGTAACTTGGCAACCGACCATTTATCAAGGGTCTGTCTTTGTGGTAACTCGTTCCACCTCCCGTTGCCCAGAAACGGTTAGACATGTCACAATACACAGTTTTAAAGTGTTTAATGACACTGCCATGAGTGTGGACAGTTATGAATATACAATATATATAAGAACAGATAGAAGAAAGCACCAACATATAATTCCTAAAGTAGTTATTTTACCTTCAGATATAACAGGCAGTGGATCTGGCCCCATTTTCTCAAAGTTTATCACTACACCACTCTGAACCTTCTGTACTAGACTGTCTATGCACTGCATCAGCATACGATGTGATGTGATGCAATATGATCTCCCTGCAAAAGGAACATAATTAATTCACACTACATTTACCGACTGCCTCTGTGGTCTAGTGGTCAGAGTTCCTGGCTACAGATCTAGAGGTCCGGGTTCGATTTCCAGCGCTACCAGATTTTCAGAGAAGTGCTGGGTCTGGAACGGGGTCCACTCAGCCTCACTAGGACAATTGGGGAGCCATTTCAAGGAAATAGTGGCTCCAGTATAGAAAACAGAAGTTAATGGCCGTGCGGATTCCTTACATTGACCACGTGACACCCTCTATCCACAAAAGTTGGCACTTACTTCTCCGACAAGTGGCAGTCGCTCAGCTGGTAAGTTCGCTTGATGACCACAGGCCACGGAGTTACTAGTCACTACATTTACCTACTAACTGATTTTTACTGAAATATTAAACAATATACTACTTTACTATTGACAAAGGATAATGGCTGCCATCTCTATTAAGTGGTGGCATTTAGAATAAGAATTTCAGATGTGACATGCCTTCATAATCCAGAAACTGCATACTTTGTTTTAACTACTTTACTCTAAAATAATATATTCAGAAATACACAATTTTCCAAGCAAAATGTCAAGTCATTATACATAAAATAAAATAAAAGGTAAAGGTTAAATTTCCCTGTGATTAATTAACTAGGAACCACACCATGAAGGTTCGTGGGGGATTGGAGGTATACCTCTGCCATTCCAACCTCAGCACACCCAGGGAAAAAGACCCTGGTGCCCACTGAATAGGAGGCTGGGTGGACCCTAGAGCTGGCCTGGACATAGTGGAGAAGAGAAAAATGTCCTGCCCCTGAGTGAAGAGAGATCACAATACTCCTTTCCTTTGGCACAACTAAATGTTACACATATTTGCACTCCACAATAGAATCTGAATTATGCAAACGGAGTCTGGGAACATGATAACAGCAAAGATATTTTTGCCATGATTTTAAGCAATACCGTGTTTGTCTAAGCTTCAAGATGTTTCAAATTGTTGAAATTCAAGCAGTGACTTCATGGCTCCAAAAGATTTCAAAAGGGCAATTAAACTGGTGAGAACTACAATACAAAGCCTGAGGATTTGGGGGGAGGGAAACTGAAGAGAATAACAAATTCATGCATGAAATGAAACTTGTCTGAGACACTTTTGGTTGATTCTGGGGAATTCACAAAACATATGTGGCAGTTTTACATGACAAGTCACTAGATGATGTGCTGACCTGAAAAATGCCTAATGCAAATTGGGTCAGCCGACAATACTTTCTTTTATGTGATCACTAAAAATGGGAATATCTATATTTCCAATGAACTGTGCAATTCAGGGAATATGTCAATCTATAGTGTGTTTAGAATTTCAAGAATTACTGATGTATTACCTCCAGTGACTTCACACATTGCATCAATGGGAGAGGTATCACTTGGTACAAGACCAACATCACGGTCTAAGGCAGGTGTTCCAGACAGCCGCAAAACAAGTGAAAACAGTCGCTGGTCCCAACGGAATGGTTCACGAGTAAGTTCTGATCCAGGAATTGGTGAATGCATCGGTAAATTAAACTGAAACATAGTAATACATATGGCTAAATCTATTTATGATAATGACCATCTTATGTTGAGAGCTCGAAGGTTTCTGGAGCATTGTATAAGAACTCCTATTTGACTAATATTTCCAGTTCAAGTAATACATTTCCTCACCTACATTCAAGATGCCAACAATTTCACTATTGACGTCTTCTCTCCAAATATCCAAAACATCCACAGTTAAGAAGAAAGTTTAAACATACGAAATACCCACTTCCCTTCATACTTGACGATCCCGATCAAGGAGAACACTACCTTTAATTTCCTACAGGCACTCATGTAACTGTTTCTTTTACAATACACAAAATCCCCTATGCCAACATCATTCTAATCCCACACTACCTCTAACAGTCCCGCTGTCATCATCTAAAAATGAACTTCCATCCCAAACATCATAAATTCTAAACAGTACATCCTAAGGAAAATCATCATACTGTCCTCAGTTTTTTGATCCTGTTCTTTCTAAATTGAACATACTAAAATGTATCCAGATCTTGAATCCCTCTACATGGAACCCATTACTAAACTTTGAAAAGTCTTGCACAAAGATCCTTCAACCAACACCTAATCACAATATTCTATTGTTCATACATCCTGGTATGATTCCCCCTATCTTAAAAAATTTCCCTGGATATCATTTCAGTTGAATCGACCTCATTATCATGGAAACAATACATACTTTAACAGAATTTTGCCTGCTAGCATAAAATATACTAATGTAAATAATTTTAAAACTGTGAAATCAAATTCTGATGTTTCTTGACCAATAACACACTTAAGACAAATTAATCCTGTTCTTACTGTACCTTATTAACCATTAAACAAATTTTCATTTGTTCTTAACCTCACTCTCATATTTGACATATATATATATATATATATAAGCTTCTCTACCAATGGACCCTGGAAATCTGACTTCCATATTAACTTTCAACAAAACATATTTGAAAGCATTAATATGTCCTTTAATTTCTCTAACCTTTCAAAAGAGAGAGTACCTCAATATTTTATTTGGCCAAACCAAGATTAAGAAGGTGGCTACACTTAGTTCATAGGTTAAGGGTCCAGGCTAGACTCACCAGCCAGCCATACAGCCAGGTAGAAACTCTAATTAGCCTCCAGCCAAGCCTGCTGTGAAGGCAGCCAGTCTCACCCTCTAGGTCAGTGACTGACTATTGCAATTATGAGAAAGTCTTTCACCACTGGAACATAACATTTCTAGTCAGTGTATTCTTGCAGACGATAATGCCCTCTGAGAGGCAGCTTTCCAGTTCCTGTGTCAATGTGGTTATGAAGCTCTTACATTATTAAATGTCCTTTCTCCTGGCAAGCATATCTATTTTTTAACCCTTTGCCGCACTTAATGCAGTATAAAGTAAACTGAAATCTATTTTGTAATGTATGGCATTTCAAAGCATAACTATACACTATAGAGTATGATACTAAGAATGAACTATTGGTCTTAAGGCAAGAAAGTTGCAATGTGAAGTGAAGTGGTGTTTCTAAGCATCTATCCACTTACCTTTACAGACCCTGCATTAGTCATTCCTTAAAAACACAAACTTCCCTTCACAGTGGCACAGAAAAACTAACACTGTAAACCAACTCCTGGAGGGCACTGGGCTGACATGTGACAAAACAAAATTACAATGGGGAATGCCATTACAAGTAGCAAGCACCATTCTGATCATGTGAAAGTAAAGCTATCCCTGTAACAGGCTGTGGAGACCCATAGGGTTGTGAGACACTGAGGTGCCCACATCTTCTAGACAATCGGCTCATAGATGGCGGTAAGGTTGTCAGCCTTACGCGCCGGCCGCCCTTTATCTCCAAGAATATTCCTGCACTCCTTTCTGTTAGAGGCTGAGTTGAACCCAGGGCTATAGTGTGGCAGGAAGGATTAGGTCAATTGAAGAAGTCCAATCACTTCATCGGGGCTTGAAACTGTGACCTTCCAGCTTGTAGCACAGTGCCTCAACCAACTACGCTACCGCGTGTCCCCATTCTGATTATGACAAAGAGGAATATCTTAGTGATAACATTAACATTTTGGCATGAAACAAACTATGAATCACTTTTACTAGTATCTTACAAAAGAAATGTAACTGCACTACAGACCAGTGCTTAAAAAAAAGAAATTTAATAGAGCATCTGAGTGGAAGTATGAGCACATACAGCAACAATCTCTTCTTAACACTGAATGCACCACAATATACTTCAATAGACTTTATAAATGTGTCCCTCAGGATCGGATTATATTGGTAACATAGTGCACGGCAAAGGGTTAACTCATTTTTGACATTCTATGCTCTTTATTATTTAGAAAAGCTTGTTATGACCAAAGAAGAGATAATATAAACCTCATATATTCAGTGTGCACTCTTTCATACAGCACATTTGATGAATTTTTATAACACACCATAGAGGAAAGGTCAATTAAAAACAAACACAATATAAATCATCTCAAATTATGCTGGAGTTGTTATAATAAAGTGCAACTCCTTAAAATGCAAACATTTTGCCACTGAAGTAAGATCCTCACAATAATGAAAACGCAGCTGATATTAACAAAAACCAAGTTACATAAAACAACAAACTGCTAATTAATCATACTGATGTACAGGAAGTCAAAAGCAGACACCTGTGATATCTCTACTGAGACATCAAACATCCAGTAATCTCCACTATGTAAACAAGCAAGGTTAGGTTAAGTTCATGCCCTATGCAATATGCCATGATACAACAACAACAAAATTGTGAAATAGGAAAATGCTGCAAACTTGGAACAAAACATCCCGCACTGAAACATCCACATCTTGTCTATACATGACACTGTGTCACTAAATCAACTAAGAGACAGTCACTGTTTGTATAAGATTAAAAGCTCTCATGGCAATTTAACTCAAACAGGTCTTCTTGGGCATCAGCTATGGCCACATGGAGGAAATTTCCGATGTTTCTAAGTCAAGTGTTGGAAATTCACTCCATACTAATGTGGCTGATCACATGAGAAGATGTAACTGAATCCTTGATAATTTTCCTCTATGGCATGCCAACCAAAATTATATCACATATTTTAATGGCACATGTGCCACTGCTTCACCACTCCTGACCTACATAAATGTACTGCACCACCCACATCCAAGATTGCTTTTACAGAAGAACTCTTCACTCTTGGGTCACCCTCCTCCACTATAGAATTCTAATATACTGAGCTATACAAAATTCTCATTCATCATAGATCTACTAAGACAAGTTCTCTGGGGCAAAGGGCTCCTTCACTGGGCAAACTTGAAACTTATTCTCTTTAAATCATGACAGATGATTCTGCATATGCACCATCAGGTGCATGAAGGTGTTAAGTCACATAAAGTTGTTTTATGAACTGAAAGTTTAAATACAGGGTGTCCACATGAAAGGAATCTAAAATAAAAAATGTATATCTCAGTAACTAATTGTCATACACGTATCTGGTTTATGTCATCTGAAAGGAAAACTCTGAAAGTTCCTTTTCATGCCCAGCTTACACACAGCCACCAGCTGGTGACTTAGGCGAGCTCAGTAACAATGTTGACACCACAGGAACAGGTTCAGTGTGTGTTGTGGCTAGCGGAGCTGCAATCTCTTACAGCTGTCCAGTCATTTTAGAATTCAATATGGATGTCAACCTCCTACACAGAAAAGCACTTGGTTCTGGGACAACAAACTGTGGACTACAGTAGTCTGTTGCATGTAAAATCTCCTGGAAAGACATGGACCTCTGAAGAAAATGCCAACTGCATTAGAGGCATTCCAGCGAAGTCTGCACAAATAATTTCTGTTGTTAGCATGCAGTTATAAATTCCACGTTCAAAAGTGCATGATGTGCTATACAAAAGGCTCCACCTAACAACGTACAAGTTTGAAATAATTCAGGCACTGAAACCGAGTGACCAAGTAGCATGCACAAACTTCGTTGTGTACATGCTAGAAAGAATTGACATGTCACCCAGTTTCCTCTGCCAAGTGGGCTTCTTGGATGTGGCAATGTTCCATGTCAGTGGAATTGTAAAGAGGTACAACTGCAGGATCTGGGGCACTCAAAGTCCATACGTCACATGTGAGTGACAATTACCACCTCAAACTATCCTCCAACAAGATGGGGCACCGCCATATTTCTGTACCATTTTTAGAAATCACCTGGACAGAGAGATGGCTGGGAGATGGATTGCCAGAGGTGGACCAATCGCTTGGCCTCCTAGGTCACCAGATTTAACATCAATTGATTTTTTCTTGTGGGGTTATGTGAAGAACATCGTCTACCAAGTTAAGATCAATGACCTTCAACACCCGAAAGCCCGCATAAGGGACACTGTGGCTATGGTAAAACCAAACATGCTTCAAACAATGTAGAACGAGGTAGAATATTGTCTGGATATTTGTCGTGCCACCATGGGAGCCCACTTTGAAATTTATTGAGGAAGTTATATACTCAGGAAAAAAAAAACTTTGATAGTTTCCCTTTGTAATGGTATAATCCATAAATGTGTATAATAAATGCTTTCGGATATATACGTGGGGCAATCCAAAAGTTTCCGAAATTTGAATTTTACTCACAAATGGTTATGAGTACATCGAAATACCACTAGGTGTCTCCTCACACATCCTTCTTGAATCAGTGTGGTAAGCAGCGTCGAGTTGAGTGGTTGGGTTTATTGTTGGTGAACATATTTCCATTGTTGCGTTTCCATGAGTTTGCGGTTTTGCGATGGCTGACCTGAGAGAGCAGCGTTGCTGTATAACGTTTTGTTTCAAACTTGGGAAAACCACTGCAGAAACACAGCAAATGTTGAAGCAAGCTTTTGGTGAAAACAGTTTAGGCCAGACACAAACTTACAACTGGTATAAGCGTTTTAAAAATTCCCGAACATTGACTGATAATGACGATCGTTCAGGACAGCTGTCAACGGGCAAAACACCAGAAAATGTGGCGAAAGTTAGGGATCTGATTCTGCAAGATCGTAGACTGACCATCCAAGACCTCTGTAACACCTTGGGACTAAGTTATGGTACATGTCAACGAATTTTGTCAGAGGAACGGAACATGAGGAGGATTGCGGCAAAGTTTGTGCCACAACTGCTGCAAAATGAACAGAAACAGCATCGCTTGAAAGTCTGCAGGGAACTTCAGCAACAGCTTCAAGAGGATCCAAACTTTCATTCGAAGGTTGTCACTGGTGACGAAAGTTGGGTTTATGGCTACGACCCTGAAAGCAAGCAGCAATCGTCGCAATGGAAGATCACCTCGGCCAAAAAAAAGCTCGACAAGTCAAGAGCAACATTAAGTCCATGTTGATCTGTTTTTTTTTTTATATTGACAGGATTGTTCATAAGGAGTTCGTCCCTTCTGCTCAGTCAATAAAGAGTTCTATCGTGATGTTCTAAGGAGTTTGAGGGAGAACATGAGGAGAAAACGTCCAGAGAAGTGGTGCACGAACAACTGGGTACTCCACCATGACAACGCACGACCACATAACGGCTTACATTGTGCAGGAATTTTTGGCTAAAAACAAGATGGCAGTTGTTCCCCACCCACCATACTCGCCAGACTTAGCTCCATGCGACTTCTTTCTCTTCCCCAAGATGAAAATCAAGTTGAAGGGGCGAAGATTTGATACAGTTGAGGAAATTCAAGCGGAAAAGCAGATGGTACTAAACACCCTAACAAAGAAAGACTTCCAGGATGCATTTGAAAAGTGGCAGAAACGCTGAGATCGGTGTATGCGCTCCCATGGGGACTACTTTGAAGGTGATGGTGCAGAATAAGATCTAGGTAAGATGTAATAGTTTTTATTAATATATTTCAGGAACTTTTGGATTGCACCATGTAATTATTTTATTTTGGATACCTTTCATCCAGACACTCTGTACATTAGAATCCAAGATGATCACATATGACAAGCTAGGAGGCCATTAAAAGAATGTGCCACCAGTCCATCCTGATAGACTGACAGACAACATGAAAAGCCTTGGTCAGGACTGTCAGTCCCTTCATTGAGTTTCTTTGTATTTCCTGTACATGAAGCAGAAGTAGTACCTACTCCAACATGAGTGATGTTGCAAAAAATGCGAGTAAAATATTTATTACAATATTCTCAAAACTGCTATCTATTTACTCTAAGGCATCTATATCTATCATTAAGTTCATGAAAATAGTGGGCATACACTTAAAGCACCCACTACTATGACAATTTAGGTTCCAGGTCACTGCTGTAACAAAACACACTTTACAGCGTTTTCATCATAAATGGCAATATCAGCATTGTTTATACCATTATCAGACACTGTTTATAGGCAAAAAATATCAGTGCTGAAAATTTTAAAAAGATCCAGCAATGTTTCTTGTCTAATAGACCAGAGGAAATCTATGAGTAAATACTTTCATCACATGGCAGTCAGTGACTGTTTCAGAAAGATACCCAATTCTTTTGAATACATGATCACTGAAAGATGTTTTAAATACATATACCATGATACTCCCTATATTTCTGTGTCTGAACTAAATGGCATTACACAAACATAAAAAAATAAACAAGGCAGAAAAGATATGATGGTCCCTGTGCTTAATCAGTTAAGCACCATGCCATAAAGATATATGGGGAAGTAGAGGTATAGCTCCACCATTCTTCACATTAGCACTAGATGAAGGTGACTGGTCAGCTTCATTCCCCGTCCACTTTACTCTTGGGGAAACAGCCTCTGGTGCCCATTGGAAAGGAAGATAGGTGGGCCCCAGAGCTGGCCTGGACACTATGGAGGGCTGAAAATTCTCTTGTCCCAGCCAGGAAACAAACCCTGGCTGTCCAGCCTGCAGCCCATCGCTATACTGACTGAGCTGTCTAGGCTCAACATATAACACAGATACCTGAAAGAACTTCTGCTGGCATCATGGTCACTTACGCTCATACACTTTGGCACCTCTGGGATTAAGAATCAGTCTATGAATCTTTGAAAATGATGGGTCCAGTTCTTAAAATGAAAATTAAGTTTCATGCTTTAGTAACTATTGTAACAACAGATATAATATTAATCAGTGTTTTGGACATCACACAGCTTATAAATCAATTCGCTTTCAAGTAATCAGGTATAAAATAAGAGGAAGAGTCAGAAAACATGTCACAAATGTAAGTAAAACTGATGTAATGGATGTCATAGGTTTTATATGTGTATCACAAGGTAGCAGCAGAGTCCACCTTCATGATTATCTAGGTAGAAGATGCACGTGCACATGTTCAGAAGATAGTTTCAGTAGTCAAAATGGCGGTCATGTTTGAGTGTACTACGGAAGATCAGCGTTCTGCTCTGAGATTTTTGTGGGCAGAAGGACTGAAGGCAAAGGATATTCATAAAGAAATGTTTCCTGTTTACAGTGGGATGTGTTTGTCACGTAAAGCAGTTCACAACTGGGTGGCAAACATTTCGTTGATGACGAAATGGAGGCGTGGAAGTGGCTGAGACAACAGTCAAAAGCTTTCTATGCCGTGGGTTTCGACACACTGGTAAAGCAATGGGATAAGTGTATCAATGCTGGTAGAGAATATGTTGAGGAATAAATGTTTTTTTTTCTGGTTTGAATATCACATGTTTTACATTATATATCCATTTGTGACCTATTTACTAACTCCCTCATACAACCATTATGGTACAAGATTTAATTAATTAGGTTCCTGCCAATATGACTGGTGACACATCTATTTGACTTACATCCTCCTGAACACCAGCACTGTTTGACAGTTTCCCACCATCTGTGATGACTACAATGACAGATGGCTCAAGGAAGTAGGGGCAGCGACCCTGACCATAAGTATCAATACCAGTTTGCATTCGATTGATATTGAGGACATCGAACGCATGTTTCAGAGCTGCACCCATTGTAGTCATTCCAACACACTGCAGGTTTTTAAGTTCATTCATGAACGTAGCTAAATTCTCTTTCCAACCAGCCTAGAACATTAAAAACACATACATAACCCTTTGTCTATTAAATACTGCTTCCACAGTTTGATCTACTGCAATTATCTAAGTTTGTAAATTACACACAAATATACCCCCTACAACACATGCAGAACAGCATTTATCAAAGTTAGCAGCACCTCCCAAGCTTCTTACCCCATAGTTGAACTGGCAGTCAAGGATCATACTGACCATGTGCATGAATAATAAAAAAGACAGTTGTTCCTGTGAGCCAAAGACACATCTTGAAGAGGTAAGAGGGAAATGCTGCATATGTTTGGTGAGAAATGTTTACATGTGGCAGTTCACCAATGGGGTGTGAAATTCATTCAGGACAATGTCAGATCACGATGTTCCAAATAACTGCAAAAAATGTCAGTGTAGAAGAAGATCTGGAAGCAAATGGTCATGTACACGATGATATGGTAGAAGCTTTTGTATGTTTCCATAGCCTGGTCTTAGTATTTTTCATGATTAGAGTGCCTTGTAAACAAGTTTCTATCTGTGGTTGAAGTCTACATTAGATTAAAATTGTCACTGGGCATTAATATGTAACAAAGAGACAGATGTTAAGGGCCCAAATTTAATACACTGTAGTTAAATCTTGTTTTAATGGGTGGAAACTCTCAATTAGCATGCAGGCTTGATTTAGACGAGTCTTTCATCTTGTGAAAACTTGATCCACAGTCTTTTGAGCAAGTTATTTAATAATGTTGTCAAAACTATATAGCGTCACTGTTATGATAATTAATGAATGTGGAGCAGTTGATGGGAAAATGAAATAGTCAAAGAAAATCCACCCTAGTGCCATTTCATCCACCACAAATCCCCACATGACCTGACTGGACAGTTTTCCTCTCAACAGGGAAGCCTGAAAAAATAAATTGCTATGTCTTGTGGCATGGTGTATATTAACAATACACCATTAACACCCACATCTAAAAGACAATCCAAGTGGGTTAAAGTCGGTTTTGAGAAAATAAGAAAATTCATATACCTTTACAAAATGACCAAATAACCTCACTTGCAGAAGGAACCACAGTTCTAAAGGTTAAAAAAGTGAAGCTGTCCCTGCACTTAATTAAGCACCACGCCACAAAAGTGTATGGGAAAGTGGAGGTATAGCTCCAACATTCTTGATCAAGGGACTAAATGGAGGTGACTGGTCATCTTAGCACCCTGGCCACTTCCCCTTGGGGAAAGAGCCCCTTGGTACCCACTGGACAGGAGACTGGATGGGCCCCAGAGCTGGTATGGATGATGTAGAAAAGAGAAAAATCTCCTGCCCCTGCCTGTCCAGCATGCAGCCCATTGCTATACTGACTGAGCTATCCAGTTCTAAATTCACATGTGTATGGAGAGCAAGAGCTAAGAACTGTGATTAAAATCTCTGAACAAGTTGAATGGATCTGGAATGGCATGGTGTCTATGTATGCACAAAGTTATCTCTGTAGATTAGGATTGTAACTGTAGAAAAGACTTGTGTGTATGGCTGCTTACTGGCTAAAACTCAATGCTGCCAAAAACACCATCTATGGAACTACTTTTGAAACAATCTGTGTGCAAGAAGCGGGAGATATTATGACATCCTTCTGGGAAGCTCTAGTGCATTCTGAACACACACCTGAACATAGTTCAGGCAATTCCCACATCTTTGGCCCTATCATCTAAGTAACAGGAATTTCACATACAAAATCAGAGTGGAAACAGCTGTTCACCAACTGCTTAAACAGCAGCTCACCAACTGCTTAAACAGCAGCCAAAATCTCTGCAATTCTGGGCAGTCAAAGGCCTTTTAAGTAGCAACAGTTCTCACTGAAGCATTGGGACAAGCTCATTTACCCACTGATGTACAATTATTTTACACAATACTGTTTCTCCTCCTCCCCTTCATAATTTGATATAAACTCCGTCTCAAGTGCAAACAATATATTTTGTGTCTTTGATCTTGCTTCCCCACACTACATGTTTCGGCCTCAGACGGCCATCATCAGGTGTATAACACTCACGTCACTGTCACACTGCACCCAGCTCAAAATTTAACATCTAAAACACTCTCCCTGTCATTATCAACTTCCAATCCGTTGATAGCTGTCTGGCTCGTAGATTATTTCACACACGTTCATTTTACTTTATTGTAATGGCACCACAATAAAATCTTTAGTTCTAATTTTAAAACCTTTAAATTCTTTCTCCAAATTTTAAAATTTTAAAATTATTAGGGTTATTCGCCCTATGTTTAAAGTGCTGCAGCGGCTAGTTCTTGTTTCCACACTGTATAGTTGTTATCCTGTGTAGTCTTTCTGTGTGCGTGCCGCTGCTATTCTTTATTACGTGTGTTGGTACATCAGACAGCACACATAATAAAGAATAGCAGCGGCACGCACACAGAAAGACTACACAGGATAACAACTATACAGTGTGGAAACAAGAACTAGCCGCTGCAGCACTTTAAACATAGGGCGAATAACCCTAATAATTTTAAAATTTTAAAATTTGGAGAAAGAATTTAAAGGTTTTAAAATTAGAACTAAAGATTTTATTGTGGTGCCATTACAATAAAGTAAAATGAACGTGTGTGAAATAATCTACGAGCCAGACAGCTATCAACGGATTGGAAGTTGATAATGACAGGGAGAGTGTTTTAGATGTTAAATTTTGAGCTGGGTGCAGTGTGACAGCAACGTGAGTGTTATACACCTGATGATGGCCATCTAAGGCCGAAACATGTAGTATGGGGAAGCAAGATCAAAGACACAAAATATATTGTTTGCACTTGAGACGGAGTTTATATCATTTATCGTATAGAGTGCAACAGGATGCTTAAATATAATATTATTGACTTCATGATGCTCTACTAACCTATGTGGAAAGAATATAAAAAATAGTAAAGCTATTCCTGTCATGTGTTGTGGAGGTCCACAGGGCTGAGATGTTGAGGCTCCCACATTTTCTAGACAATTGGCTCACACATGGCGGTGAGGTTGTCAGCCTTACACACCAGCCACTCTTTGCCCCCAGGAAGATTGCTGGTACTCATTTCTGTTAGGGGCTGAGTCGACCCCAGGGACACAGTATGGCTCGAAGGATTAGGTCAATTAAAAAAAAAAAAGAATCCAGTCACCTCATCAGGAATTGAACCCGCGACCTTCCAACTTGTAGCACAGTGCCAACCAACTATGTTACTGCATGCCTAAATGATATAAAAGTTTGGACTGGAGAAATTTATGTGTGTACTGCATAACTCTTGTCACATTCTTCTCCTAGTACCATTAAGACAAATTAATTAATGTAGTTCCACCAGCCTGGATACATTACTCCAAACAGAGAGAAATAAGCACACAGACTTTGGCTGGTGAAACCTTTCGGTTAGCAACCAATAAAGGGCCTTTACACTAGCACCACTGAACTTTCACCTTCTTCCAACATACGGTTAATTAACTGCAATGTTTAGCATGTACAATCTGTAAACCAAGGTTCTGGTAGAGACTGACTAGTGTGTGTTGGCCTAAGAAAGAAGACAACTAAACAAAGTTCAGAATCCTATGAGAACATGGAACTGACTACTAAACCTTCAACAGGAATTGATTACCATCTTCTCATAATGTCATATTACGCATTTGCAAGAGGCCTCAATGAAATTTCTAATATGAAAGTAAACACAGAGTTTAATGTGCACTTTTCTTCAGTTTTATGAACACTTTGTTCACAGAATAACTGCCTTTCATTGTAATTTTAAAAATACACTTGGGAGTAATTTTTTTTCTAACAGTACAATTCAATTGAACCTATGATATCCAGCCCCACAATAGAAGTAGAAACCATTACAATTACAGAGTTCTGAATATAAAAAAAACAAACTCCATGGCCTGTAGTCCACAAATGAACTCTACTGACCGAGCGATCACCGCTTGTCGGCGAAGTCAGTGCCAACTTTAGATACAGGGTGTCAAGTGGTCAGCGCAATGGATCCCCATTAATCCACAGAAACAAACATTTTAATAGGGCCGCGTCCTACCCCGTTAACATTTCCCTTATTACGCTGTATATTATTGCAGTCCACCGAATAAACGCGTATTTTATTATATTAATATCCTTTCCATGCTCCAAACAGAATTGAAAAAAAAAAGAGACTTGCGGGGTTGCACTTTCCCCTGACAAACTTCTTGGGAAAAGTAAATGCATCGTTAGCGCTTATGTACTGCCTCTATTATACCAACTTCTCGTAAATCATTTGTCAGTTGGTCCCAGTGGGTACAGTATGGAAGGTCAGGTTCTCTCTCACAATCCATATACGAATTTCACATGGTATTCTCGAACACAAACATTGAGAATTCACAAAGTACTTCATATTACAATGAATATAATTTGCAAAACTGGCTCTAGGCCAAAATAAACACGAGAAGTTTGTGTATCTTTCGAATTTGTCATCAGAAATTTTTCACTTACCTTAATATTAGCGGGCGGATCTTCAAACGTTAGTAACATGTACCTATCACCTCTGCTTTCAGGCGATCTTTGGCGAACCTGCGGGGTAAAGCAAACAATAAAACATTATTCTGCATTTCCGAAAAAAAAAATGCGTTACAACTTACGTGAATATAATTCGCCGTAAAATTTCTTCACTTACCTTAACGAACGTTTCTACAGCCCCTTTAGCAACATCTAGCAACGTTGGACGTCCACCCAAATATGCTCTCTGATTCATAGATGCAGAGGTATCTATTAGAAAAACTATTATAGTCATTTCGAATATTACTCTATGTTCTTCCTCGTAGATTAAAAACTGCACTTTATGAGCTAACGCTCGTAGACGAACCTCCCACCTCACCTCACAATGACTGCATCGCAGCTACTTCGTCAAGCAGCTGAAATCCTAATAGGCCTAATACGCCACGAAGACTCACACCACGTGACCTTCTTCGTCATGATTGGTGGCATAATCAATGGATGTACATACATTTTATTATCGTTCTTATTCAGAGACTGTAAAATGGAATAAAACGAAGATAGTACAGAGGTTAATGCAAATGTTATTATACTGGAGGTCTGTTTTATAATTTGAGAACTAATTAACACACTGAGTACTAGATTGTACATGTCGTAATCGCTAAGTGTGGAAATTGTCCCTCGAAGTCGTTTATTACGATTTTGGCCCCCCACTGTGTTCAAAGCATCTATTGTTAAAACACGCACCTTAAATATAATTATGACACGTTAGATAAAATAATGTAATGTAATACGAATGCAATAATCAACACCGCTCATATTCTTCACCCGTAACACAACCAACATCCTTATTTCACATTTCCCATAATTCCGTCTTTTACGACCCTTATGACGCTTATGACGTCACACTGAGGCTGGCGTATATGGCGGTTAGTTGTTTGAATATGCTTTATAATCGTACTAATGTAGATGTTGTGCACCCACTTTGTGTGTAAAGATAAAAGTAGGCGTATTATATCGCCGTATTGTCTGTATATGTGTGTGTATCCCCCTTTATTTTTTAACCGATCGATTTCTTATAAGGTTTTGCGACAATAATTTATATAGGAAGTTCTCATCCCTCCATGCATGCTACATGCCCCACCATCCCATATGTCTGATTTGGTCATCCTGTTGTGAAAGATGTGAATCCTGTTTCTGAGTGATGTGTTATAGATGCAGGTTGTAATGCCGATTTTTGGAATTTCCAGTGTTTGAACGTGAGCTGGAGTAGTGCAGTTCGTGTAGCGATGGGCAAGGGGTTAGACGGTAGGCATTCCATTCCCTGGACTGGAAAGAGGATTATCACCGGGGATAAAGCGGCCGTAGCCTGAAGCTGGCCACTCACCTCCGACTACTGCCGAGGTCAAGAAAATATGGATCTATACATACATTCTCTCATACACCTTCATGGCATACTGCTTAATTAATTAAGCACAGGGACTTTGCCTTTACTAAATCATTATTTTAATACAAATAATGTGTGAGAGAGAGAGAGAGATAAAGAATATGAAATACAATTTCTCTATAGATCAGTCTACAACCTTTATAGGACTATGTTTGTACTGATCAGTCAGTATCTTATCTGGTGTGTATATACTGCAAATTTGGAAACACCAGACATATTCTGTAACTGGGAACCTCTAACATGTCTGACTGCCTCCTTCAGTGTCTGAAGAACACGTCCCCTTCACAGTTCATGTTCCAGCCTCTCTCTCCCACAGTTGCCCTCCTAGGAGAATGCCAACCCTGTGTGCTAATCCAGTCTTGTGTGCATGCTCTATCAATCTTCTACTGGATGCTGTAGCATAATGTAACATGGCACAGGAGATGTCAAACGGTGTAGAATGATGCCATAAAATTTCACAATATAATGAACTAAACATCGAATGATCAAATAATAGCTGTGTTCTAGAACTGAACTTTATTCAACTTGTAATACATAGCACAGTAAGAAGTTATACATACATGCTTGGTGTACTCTTGCAGGTAATACATAAAGATGTAGCCAAATTTTGATTACATGATTATCGGTTATCTGGTCAGCATGTTAGATACAGCTTCATAAACTAATGTAATGGTATATCTTCGTGTCAAAAGCAGCAAAGAAACTGTACAGGAACTTAGTGAAATAATGAAAGGAAATTCTGAATCCAGTTACATACCAAATCACAGGCACAGCCCTAATAGAACCAACTACAGTAATATGCCAGTGAGCTGCACACTCAAAGGTTAATGACAGATAGGAGTAAATCAGAATTATTTATTTGCTTGTATAGACCTCACACTTCATTCATTTTACTGCAACCCTCCTGCACACTAAAAGATACACAAGTGATCGTCTCTGAAAGAATTTGAAGACACCTGTTACAACACATTTCTTCATCTGCATACATATACTTTATCATAGAAAGGTGAAACATAAAAATGTTATTTTGTAAGATCTCAGTGTTCCCAGACTTGAAACAAATCAGACAAACATTTATGACATGTTCTTTGCATGATACTTGTTGAAATCCCATGTCTGCCCATCTGTCTGATAATCCCCAGGTTTCAAATCAGGAACAGCCATCTCAGTTTGATGAAATTTAATATGAATATTATACTACTGTTGGGCACTCAAAATAAGTACTTTCTAATTTCATACAACTGGTAATAATAATGTGACTTAATTCGTGAACTTGTGAGGTGGGGGCAACACTAGCACCATTGACCATGGTTAGCTCAGATGGTTAGTTACCGGCTTCCCACTGTAGTGTCCCAGTTTCGAGCCTAGGTGAGGTCACGTGGGATTTGTGGTGGAGAAAGTGGCACTGAGGCAGGTTTTCTGAGTACTTCAGTTTCCCCTGCCAATTCTCATTCCATCAACTGCTTCACACTCATCATCATGTATAATTTGGGACTGGTACAATAGGCTAAACAGTGGTCAACATACCAAGTGGATTCAGTCTCACCCCACCCCAAGAAACTAAAAACTGCTATCCCTGCAACAGGCTATGTAGGCCCATAGAGTTGTGAGATGTTGAGGCTCCCACATTTTCTCTAGATAGTTGGTTCACAGATGGCAGTAAGGTTGTCAGCCTTATGCGCCGGCCGCCCTTTAACCCCCAGGAAGATTCCTGGTTCTCATTTCTGTTAGAGGCTGGTTGACCCCAGGGCCATAGTGTAGCAAGAAGGATTAGGTAAATTGAAAAAAAAAAACATCATCAGGACTCAAACCCATGACCTTCTGGCTTGTAGCATAGTGTCTCAACCAACTACACTACTGCATGCCCCCTGTTGGTGATGGTAGTAACCACAGTATATATAGTGATGAAAGCAACCATAGTAATGAAATTTTTATCTTTAAAAAATGTATGTGCATTTAAATATGAATACTTTTTGAGGGGAATGTGTAATCTATACATCATTCAACTAACAATACCTTAAAATTTAGTGTGACATACATCTGATTTAAAAATTGTATAGTAGAATAATTAATTTAGAAGCTTTTACTAATATGAATATGTATTAATGGCATTCAGAAGGTTTCATATCAGTGAAAGGCAAACCATGTAAGAAATTAATTTAAAGTTGTAATTGAAAATGTCATCATATTTATCAAAGATACTTGAATCAGGTACAGTATATGCATTCAGAATACCAAGGTGCAAAGATGACAGATGAAAACTGTGAGCGTTCATGTAGAGATTACACCTTTCCACTCCTTACAAGTCTGTGACTGTTTCCTGGTATATTGGTAAGTGGTCTTAAACATGTTGTGGTAGTACTACTACTGCCATCATGGGTATGGTAAGTTATGATAAATGGTTTTAGAGGTCTGAATATGCAGCAGAACAAAATGTTGAGGAAGTTAGTAAAACGTTAAATTCGTGGTTTTCATTTTCAACAATTCCTGCATGTTAAAGCAGAAATTATGCCTCTTCTTTTTGATGTCTCAAAGTACATATACTCCTGAAACAAAAAAAAAATTAAAAATGACTTGTTCTTAACAGAATGAAGGAAACCAGAGACTAGCTGAAAGGTCAATAAATAAACCAACTCATTGACAATTTGATTACATCATCATCATTGTAATCATTGTTATTTGGTTTTTAGCTGTTATCAACCACTTTAATGAATGAACTGAATTGAACTGAAATGAGTTATTGTTATAACCATCACCATCATCATAGTTATCACTCTTGCTGTTTTACAGCTTCATGTTTTCAGAAACATTATGAAATAGGAATTTGATTATGTAGATGATATATAGAAAAGTAAACATCATTTCTGTTTCCCAAAGCATCACAATTCATACTGCTATATAAAATAACCACTTAAAATGATAAAGAACTTTAAACAGTTTTTTAATCAAAGGATTAAATTATGTGTTAAGGAAAAAGCAGTTTACTTCCTCCTCAAAACTGAGAGCAGCTTAACTACACATGTGAGTGGTATTTGACTTGTTTAGATACACCTGTATTGGTCGGCCAGCATTTACAAATTAGAATATTGTTTTTTTTGTGATATGTAATGCCATTATTTATAAAAAGGTAAATTCGCTTTTAAGATTAAATATTAATAGTTAAAATCTTAATCATTAAAATTAAAAATCAAAGGTGTATAATTTTATATCTTTATCCATATGTGTATTTTGTAGATCAGTAATGAGGCATTTCCTATTACTAAAAAAAAGCAGTCCTATTTGTAAACACTGGCCAAAGTAGGAATACTACCAGACTGATATAGGTGTATGTAAGTAAGTCAGATACCTGATACCTCAGTGAGCTGCAACATGTGGTAAAAAACAATGAATATATGGCGTATATTTGTTACTGGGGTGCCAGACAAAATAAAGAAATTTCATACATACAATAAAAGTAAAGTAAGGCTATCCCTGTACCAGGCCGTGAAGGCCCATAGGGTTGTGAGACGTTGAGGGTCCCACACTATCTAGACAATTGGCTCACAGATGACGGTAAGGTTGTCAGCCTTACGTGCCGGCCGCGCTTTACTCCCCAGGAAAATTATTTAATCAATTCCTGGTACTCATTTCTGTTAGAGTCTGAGTAAACCCCAGGGCTTAGTACAGCTGGAAGGATTAGGTCAACTGAAAAAATCCAATGACCTCATCGGGATTTGAACCCGCGACCTTCCGGTTTGTAGCATAGCACCTCAACCACTATGCTACCGCATGCCCCTTCATACATACAATATGACACTAAAATATATCATTTCTAGCTATGCAAGTGGGAAATTTCAGCAAGTAAATCCTAATATACTTAATTTTCTTGGTGAACTGTTTCTTACCTATAATGCTAAACTAATCAGCCTTCTTTTTCCATATATTAAGTTTACTGTACACTGCTTTTCACAACACAGACTTTTGCTAAGATATACCTTCCTGTTTGAAAGAAAATTGTCTATTGATGTGTAAATAAAATGCGTGGTACAAAATTGAATGTTAACAAATGAATAATGTTTTTGAATGTTTATTACTCATAAATTTTTCCCCAAACAGAACTGTATGCTAGAATTAATTTGTTTGTTACATACCAAAAGAAATGCAGCTCCAAGTATCACAGCCTTCATTTCAGTATTCACCTCAGTGGTAGGAAATGTCACAGTTAGATTGTAGCCAGATGACATGCTGTCCCAACCATGCGTGATACTTCCCAAATTATTTGTACAGTCAGGAGACAGAACCTGTGGTGAAACTGTGGAACTACTGTCATGGTTCTTTTTAAAAGTGTTTCATTCTAGGCTATATTCACAAGAACGGTCCAGAGTTTACATTATGTTTGCATATTTCTGGCTTAATGAATCAAGCTGATCAACAAATGTTATCCTTCATTAGTTCAGCTATCATATTGGTAGCTCTGCCTTATTAATCCTACCAGTACTAGGCTATTGCTTCGCTCACAGAGGAGGGAGGAAGGAGGCTTGTGGGATCATAAATTAGGATATTTGTGATTACCAGTAAATCTCATTTTAGCTAAGAGAATTGAGTACAATATGGAGCAACATTTGGTAACTTTACTTCATGGCCAAGTCACGAAAAATGAAAGAAAATGGATACTATGAAACAAATATTTTAGTGCCAGGATGAAAAAATCAGATTCTGTGTATATGTGTGTTTATGTGGGGTCAATATACCAAATATATTGTCGCGTATCGGGCGTATATCGCGACAAATAAATTCTCGATGTATTCGATGTAGCGAATTTTATTTCACATCCGCTCTCACAATCACCCAAATTACAATCTGACGATTACTGCTATCTGCAGTATCACAATTAGTACACTCCAAATGCCAGAATACAACTGACTGGCTGACTCTACCTCTCGACTTGGCGGCTGTCACAGTACAACTCAGTACAACTGACTGTGAATAGCCTTCGCTGCACCTCATGTAGCCTCGATCGGACCATACGGAAAACGGCCGCGTAATAGGCACCCTTTTTGCCTGGCGCTGTGTTGCTATGTAACGCTAGCGGAGGTAACCGCTGTTACTATCGTAACGTCGCCGCTGTTGACTCGCGTTGCCTAGCGACCGCGAATCCCTCGGTGACGTCACCGCGGAGGGGAGTGGCGGGGCGGGAACTCGCCTATTACCGTAGTAACGCAAGCGTTACGTTACCGCCACATACCGCTGGGGAGGTAGGGGTCAACATGTCACAATATTTTGAATAGGAGGTTGGAGAAAACTGCATAATGAGGAACTTCATAACTTGTACTCTTCTCCAAGTATAATTAGAATGATCAAGTCAAGGAGGATGGGGTTGGCAGGGCATGTAGCATGAATGGGAGAGAAGAGGAATTCATGTAGGATTTTGGTGGGAAAGCCAGAAGGAAAGAGACCACTGGGAAGACCAAGGCATAGGTGGGTGAACAATATTAAAATGGATCTTGGAGAGATAGGATGGGATGGCATGGATTGGATTGATCTGGCTCAGGATAGGGACCAGTGGAGGGCTCTTGTGAACATGGTAATAAACCTTTGGGTTTCATAAAATGCTGGGAAATTCTTGAGTAGCTGCAGATTTTGTTTCCCCTCAAGAAGGGCTCAGCTCCATAAGTAAGTATTGTAAAGTATACATCATTTTGTGTAAGAGTTAGAATGTAAGGGACTAGTCTTCAAGCCGCCTATCCTGATTGTAGTCCATGAAATTGATATTCATCAAAGAAAAAGAACTTACAACTTCGAAAATAAAATAGATTATGAAGTAGTCCACACCATTTAACAAAACAATCTTAATCAATCAGAAATTCCAGACAATACCATCATTAATTTTAACATTCACAAATGGTAAAGTTGTCCCTGTGCTTAACTAATTAAGCATTATGCCATGAAGGTGTATGGGGGAGCAAATATATAGATCCACATTTTCTTGACCTCAGCATTAGTTGGAGGTGAGTGGTCAGCTTCATGCACTGACCGCTTTACCCACAGGGAAAGAGTCCCCAGTACCCATTGGATAGGAGGTTTCGTGGACTCCACAGCCAGTCTGGATGACTTGGAGAAGAGAAAATTCTTGACCCTATTGGCACTCAAACTCTGACTTCTCAGCCGTACAGCCATAGCCAGTCGCTATACTACCTGCCCTACCCCAGCTCACAATTTCAACATTCATAGGTCTGAAAATGTCTAAGGAAGTGGCAGTTTATCTCGCATTATGATCAGTATATTTAATCACCCCTTTCAAATAAAATGGAATGTGTCAAAAAATTGCAATCTTTTGTTCAAATCAATTTGTCTTTGAAGGTGAAATTTAGTATAAGATAGATGGATAACTCATGCAGCCAAATCTCTTCATTCTTTTATGAAACCTTGATGAGTTTCCTTGTCTGCGTCCAAAGCTTCCAATATCAGTATTGCCCCCTTTATTGTGACATTAATGTGCTAGTTTAAATAAAATAAACAATTCTGAAATCGAATGTATATCTGTGTATGCGTTTGCATGTGTGCGCATGTGTATATATATATATATATATGAGTTGCCATGTTTATAATTTCCATGTACCTCCATTCTTCCCATTTGAGTTGTGTCAGTTTTCAACACTGTCCACCTTGCAGCCACCTAACACATGAATAACTTTCTATTTATTCCATGCATGTATTGAATTTTTATGAGCGTTTCAGACAAGTTCCCATTTATGAATACCGAAAATTTAAAACTTATGTAGTGTGAATATGGATAGATTTTCATTTATCATAATTATAGGTAACTTTTTATTTATCATTAAACTAATTAGATACTGACATCAAATTTAGCCTGGTAATTACTTCCACAACAAGTGTTGGCAGATGCAGGACCCTTCATGCGATAAATAAGTTGTCCACTTGAGTTCCTCAGCTGGAATAAAGGAGCTGCCACAGTCCATTCCTGTATCACGCTGCCTGTATATGAATCCATGTCAGAGTACACTTCTAGCTCCTGGAAAGAGAATAGAGATATGTGAAGATTTCTTGAAATACTCACATACATGTAATAGGTACTATTATTGCTAATAATATAAATTCCACTGTCAGCGCAACTATAATTTATTAGCTTATGTTCCACTACATGTTTCACCTCTTATAGAGTCATTCTCAGCTGTTGTGATTTACATATTTTCATTATAGAATTGTAAAGTGGGTCATCATCATCATCAGTAATCTGTCAAGACGACAGGTCCACAGTCTCTTTCAAAACAATTCCTCCACTTAATGCGATCTAGAGCTTTCTCCTTCAAATGACAGTATCCTCTTCTGTCCCCAAGGTCATCCAGCATCTTCTTACGTCTTCTTCCTCGTCTTCTTGTCACTTCTATCCGCCCATCTATCTTTCCTTCGATAGCTTCTTTTAGAAGGCAGTTTCTGCGTAAAACATGACCAATCCAATTAGCCTTCCGTTTTCTTATTTCATGTAGGATATTCCTCTGCTCACTGACTCTAATTAACACTTCTTCATTTCTCACATAATCGGTCCAACTGATCTTCTCCATTCTTCTCCAACACCACATTTCGAAACTTTCCAGATGTTTCTGATCTACTGCCCTAAGTGTCCATGTTTCAGCCCCATACAGAGCTATGCTCCAAATGTAGCATTTCACTAGTTTCTTCCTCAAATTTAAGTCCAATTTGCTGGTAAAAAGATTCTTCTTCTTGCTAAATGCAGCTTTTGCCATGGCAATCCTGGATTTAATTTCACAAGTACACCTTCCATCATCTGTTAACAAGCTACCCAAATATTTAAAACATTTCACATTCTCCACTTGTTTTTGGTCTATCTTTATTGTGACTGGGGTTGGTTGTCTCGAAATTTTCATTACTTTTGTTTTCTCCACATTCATTTCCATGCCATAGCACCTTCCAATTTCAATTAGTCTATCAATCATGCCCTGTAGCACAGTTTCTTCCTTAGCCATTAACACAAGGTCATCTGCATATTTCACAGTTTGAATAATTTGCCCTCCTACTTTGAAGTCACCGAGCCCATCCAGAGCTTCCTTGGTAAGGCATTCGCTGTACAAGTTGAACAGAATTGGTGATAAACAGCATCCTTGTCGAACTCCTCTTCCAATCTGCACACTTCCTGTCTCCCCCGTGTCCAGTCGTACTCTAACTTTCTGATCCATGTACAATTTGCTAATCAATCTTCTTTCATGCCAATCGATACCTGTTTCTTTCAGGATCTGCATTAATTTGGTCCAGTTTACCCGGTCAAATGCCTTCTGCCAGTCTATGAAGCAAACACACAGTTCTTCATCTATCTCCAAAGTTCGTTCCGCTATAATTCTCATCATCCCAATTGCATCCCTGGTTCCTTTTCCTCTTCTAAATCCAAACTGATCTTCTCCAAGTACATCCTCTATTTTCCTTTCAATTCTTCTTTTAAGTATCTTTGCTATTATCTTTGCTGTATGTGCAATAAGACTTATTGTGCGATGGTCGCTGCATTTTGTAGCTTTTGTCTTTTTCTTTAAGGCAATCATTGTAACTTCTGTAAAGTCCTTGGGCCACTCTCCACTTTCATATATGGTGTTCATTAGTTTTGTCAGTGTTTTCAAACCACCTTCTCCCAGTAACTTGAGCACATCTCCAGGTACATCATCATCTCCTGTAGCCTTTCCCTTCCTCATTTCCTTGATAGCTTTTTCCACCTCACTTTGTAAAATATATGGTCCTTTCTCGTCTGTATCTACTTCTTCTTCCGGTTCAACTTCTAAGGTTTCTGGCCGATTAGGTCGATCATATAGTTCTGAAATATAATTTTCCCAAATTTTCCCAAAGTGGGTATACACATTTAAATACATAGACTTCAAATTACTACTTTCCATATACATTTATATTTTAGTATCTAGATGTTGATTTAAATACAAGATATATATGGAACTAAAAGTTTAAAATATAAGTTGATTTGAAATTAATTTAAAAGTGTCGAATGCTGCATTGAGTTACATGTCTGTTGCTGTAGTAGGCCACACATCTTTTCATCTGATTCTTCTATTGTTTAAATTAATTGTGTTAACCGTTTCTTAAGCATGAATCTTCTTTCTTATTTCCCGGGTGTCGATTATTACCATTGTTGTGTTGTCTAATTTATGTGGTATGCTCTACTGTGTGGTTTATACTACTTCTGATATTAAAAATAGGTATTATTATTATTATTGTACTAGTTTCTTTCTGTCAGTGAGCTCAATGGAAATATTATATGAGACGTAACATACGTATTTAGTGGTGCATAAAAACTGTACTCTCTTTGTTGAACATTTTGTGAGATATACTTAGAAATCTGTTGAGACACTTAGGTAATGTAGCATTGAAAGTAATTACTGTACTGTGCATGAAACCTGTATGTGGTAATAATATAATATATAACTAATATATTATATAATAATATAATAACTACTGTATATAAGTTTTCATTCAAAAATGTCAAAAGAACCCAAAATTTATACATTCCTTTGTGTCTTAAAATGAATCAAATGAAAATCAGCATCAAAATGGTTCAATAAAATTCAGTGTAAGTGTTCACCTAAACCAGCCTCATAGTTTGTGAGACATTACTTAACACTTCGTGGACCGGCAATTTAAATATTTAAATCACCCTGTGGACCGGCATTTTTATACCTACTACCCTAACTTGTGCACTGTTCACTTTAAAAATTAATATAAAATCTCCTAATTAATTTTATGAACTAAAATTTTTTGAGAACATTTACCAGTGCTTCTAGAAGTGTTTGAGGCATTTATTTTCCTTTGCAGAGGCATAGAGTTACAGCGAGGTCTAGTAACTGATTGGTCAGCAGACATTCCAGAGCCTTATAACGCAGCTACATGCTAGCTAGGTGGAGCCAGAGAGATGTATAGTGTGTTGCAACGTATCATGTTTTAAAAACCTGTTAACACGCAAACGGTCTGCCATGTTTAAAAGTGAAAAACCTTTTAAAGGGTGCGCAGTCCACAAAGTGTTAAGGGTACATGGACAGAAAGACAGATGAATATGATGAAATTATTACATGCTTTTGATGTACATCTACATTAAAACTGGCATCTTGTGATGTGCTTCTGGTAACATACCTGAAGGCAGCAACCAAAAAGCCAGCTACTGCAAGCCAATTTCCTGTTGAATCGGATAGCTTCCTGCCGACTGTGGTCAAAGAGTCTCATCTCAAAGCCCCGATTAGAAGCACAACACATGCGCTGTGTTTTACTGGAACTCTCTGCTGCTACGTACAGTGTTTCGCCCTGTGGTACCTTCACTTCAAACCTGTTCTCTGACTCCACATATGCCAGGACTGAGGAAAATAAATTTACAGAGTACATACAAATGCACATTAGGAGAGCTCAATGACTATTATGCTTGCCATGTATTTGGCAGACATTTGCTGAGAAAGTTATTGTTCAAAACTATATTCATTCTCTGTCACTACTTTGCAAACTAGACTCTAACTGGGAAGAGAAAATAAATGGCATGTGAAATTAGAGAACAGAGATATAAATGAATAACAACTTACTGTCAACAAGTTCAACTGTCTGTTGAATATAAAGTTCATTAACACCTCGAAGGAAGTCCAAGCCAGAAGGTGGCACCATGTGATTTACAGTTGTTGAGCGCCAGTCCACTACAACAATCAGCATTGCGTCTTATTCCAGTTTTTAACACAGCTGGTATTCAGGACAAGGACAGAATTCTTTGCTCATTTATAATATCATATTGCAAGGAACACAGAGATTAATTTCATGATTGCCTCATAAGTTTCTAAAATTGAAGGTAAAATTCAAACTACCCAATGCTACATTTGTGGCAAACAAATTGAAGAGCTCTGTGCACAGTTTACAATACACAATTGAGTTGAGTGAATAATGAGAAGTTTAATTCTATTACATCCCCCTTGTAAATGTGAGTCTGTCGCAGATTTATGTATGCATGTTCATTCAATGAACAGTGTATACAGGTCAGAACCTAAACTTCCTTACACTTTATGTTTCACAGTCACATATAACAGATTCTTAGAGTAAAGTTCATACTTGTTGATATTGGGATGGGCCGTCGATTCCGGTTAACATCTGCAAGAAAAAAATGTGGAATTTAACTCGGTGACATATGTAAAAATTTGTATTATTATTATTGAAGTGTAGACTTACAAAAGTAGCAATTGTGGATTAATAATTGTGCTACTTATATGCATAAAATATATAAAGTCAGCTATAACTTTCAATAACTTTGTATATTTAACTTCTTCAACAGAATATATATATATATATGCAAATCCATTCTTTGCTGTATGAGATAGGATGGAATGTTATTTTTATGCTTGCTCAAAGGCAGGAGATAGTCCAAAATAGAAAAGGTAGTTTTTAATAGAGGTATGATAAATGTTAACAGGCATACATAATTTAATCAACTATTATCACTTTCGAATAAGCAAAGTGCAAAACATTTAACAAATGCTTCCATTAACTATGTATCAGATTAGCATACTGCAGTTTCAGTGTCAATACTGTTATCATTATTAATATTTTTCTATGTTAAAGTTAATCAGTTAAAATTTCTGCGTCTTCATACCTGTGCCTGGCTGAGCTGTGATGATAGTCTGTTGTGTGAAGACTGGCAGATCCAGGTACTCTATCAAAACAAAAGAGAAAAAATACACTTTAAGTTCATACTAATGTAAAAGAGTCAATGATTAGCCGTGCGGTAAAATTAAAAGGAATTTTTATTTTATTTACCTTTTAGTGGGACCTAATACACATACTAATGACTGAATTATAATTTTATTTTTCTCGAAGATTTCTATATTCTGGGATATAACGCTGTATTGTCCAGCAGAAGTGACTGACGTTTCAGAGGAATATATCACCTCCATATTCTTGCTCTGCTTGCTGCCTGCTTCATGCTAGTTTCTTGCTTGGCTCACTCTTCAACCCTGAAGATGGAGATATGCTCCTCCAAATTGTCATTGACTTTGACCAGGCTACACAGTATTACATCCCAGAAGACAGAACTCTTCATAACCTTCATCATGTGGACCTGAAACCAAACACTGACTTTTCATACACAAAACAATGGAAGTGTTAATTCCATGCAGCTTCTTTCTAACTACATTACTTAAAATCAAATTTTATTCTTGCTGTGACAAATGGTACAGTATACTGGTTCATTTTTTTCATAGAACACAAAATAAAAGAAAACTTAAAATATGTTACTAAGAATTATGAAAGGTGAAATAGAGGTGATTTTTATGTCATTAATTTCATTGATTCATTTTTTCTGAAGACTCCCAACAGTGTACCCAAGTACTGGAACTTGCTTCATATGGAGTACATAGTTTTCTATGCTGAGATTTACAGCAGAAAGCTAGTGTTTCTTTTTTAGATTAATTATAAACTTAAATTGTAAGATATCAACAATTGTTTCTGGCACTTCGAAACAGAGATGCAGACATGAGCCTATTGCCTTCTCTGTCTGTTTGCTTGCAGCAACTCGAGCACTGCTGAATGAATTTAATAAAATTTTATGCTTGGGAAGTTTTGTAAGATGTGTTGATACATTCTAATTTTTGCTAAAATCATACAACAATACAAGACATTTTCCATGAAAACCTGCATGCCTCTCTGTGTGTATTTCGAGATTAATTTGCGCGTAATTATGGCAGCAAAAAGCAATTGCAAACAGAACTTGTAGAGAAAACTAAGACACACATTTTATATACTGTGCCAGAATTGTTATTCTATGTAAATGTTTCCTAACTTGTTAGTTTAGGTGTCATGAGATGTCAGGAAAGAATTCTGACCAGTGAGAAACTCGCATTCAAGAGGACCCCAAATAATGCAGACTGGTGTCAAAATAATCTTTTTGGTTTGGCTCCTAACATGCATATAAAGTCTTTATAAATACATGTCTGTGTAAAGATCAAACATGTATACCATCTAACAAAAGAATGTTAAGTTACAATCCATTAGTTTCTACCTACAAGCTATCTTTTTGCAGAGTACATTCAATGAAATCACAATATCACATAATGATCATCCTGCTTTCAATTGGTCTGTTTGTTCTGGCTCCATAACTGCCAAGTTAATTCCAATTAAATTTGATGTTTAGGGTCCACATTGTAAGTTCCCATGTGAGCATAACTTTGGTACATGCTGATCCAATATAACATCTACATTACTACATTATATAAAACTTAAATCAAACTTTTAATTTCTCTCAAAAACGGATCATACCAAATATTTAATGAAATACATAGGAAAATAATCTATGATTCTGAGAAGCATAACTTGCAGCAGCATATTTTTATCTGCAATAAACAAAGATAATATCCACTGAAATATGTTACGCAAAATTACAAGAACTTATTTGAAACTGCTTGATACACGTTTTTCCACCCAGACATAGACAACAAGGGGGTTTTGAGGAAACAAAAAATACGAATATTTCCGCTGTTCGAAAACATGACTGAATCTGTCATAAACAAGGTTTATGTGCAAAAGATTTCTGCACTGGGTGTTCAAGTGAGATCTTTGAAAGAGAACAGTAATAGATCCATGATCTAAAGATCCTTATAAAGCATATAAAAAGTATAAAATTGTCCAGACATGATATGAAATGACTGTGTGGTATCACAAGTAGGAATATTTTACTTAAGTAATATTCTCTAAGAAAAATAAATGCACCATTCAGTACTTTCCTTTAATATGTTCTTCCTAGGAAAAGCCATACATTTATTGGAAACATTTTTCAGTATTTGTTTTTGGTGTCATAGTGATGTGTGTGTTCTAGTGTGTGTCACAATGTCATTTGACTCATGAATACTGGGCAGAATTCTCAACAACAAGCTTAATGAAAATCCTTTTCTGGGTGGCGTTATAACACATGTTCAGACAGGCAATAAGTGCCGTAAAATGTGGCCAGATATATGAACACATGGAATGCATAGCTCATAACATGGGAATGGTTAAGAAGAAGAAAGTTTTGCAACACAGGACAGTTGCTACAGTTTAACAGTGAAATGGAGATCAATTTCTTAGTTTCACAATCGAGTTCTTAGTCACCACTACTCGTAAAATGTTACTCATCATTGCATCACGCAACATACATTTAAGATTCAGCACTCACTCTCTTCCTTCTGTCATACCTATGTATTGAGTAGCTGCTGACCGATGACCACTATTTTGGTTTTCATTTATACCAGATCCCAAAATTCTAGCACCTCCTGCAACAAATGCATTGTATATTTTCGGTAATTTATATGACAGATCTGTACCATGTACTGCATGAAAACAATAAAAAAAAGACAACAAAACATACCATCCCTTGTAATACTATCACATCCATCTGACCCCTAATATTCTCTGCTTCTCTGGCCAGGAACGCCATTTTAATGATTTATAAACAATCGATGTTCCCGTTGTAATATGGTAATGATATCTTTTCCTTCTGCTAAATCACCGATTAATTTGACCATGGCAAACGTAGGCCTCAAATAAATTAAAATTATTTTATCCACGAATGAGTACTCCATATGAAGTTTTAAAGGCAAAGGGTATGCCCAAGTTACTTTCAAAATTAGTATAAATTAAAACATCTATTTTATGAACCATTGGCATGATACTGGAAAGAATCTAGTGCTGCATTAATACACCATTAAGCCCAAAATTTCACCTATAATTTAAAAATATGTCAGTTGAAATCCACATGAAACAAGAACGAGCCAATACCAATATGGATAAAATAACTCAATAATTGATTTTATCTGGATATATATATGTGTGTATATATATTATCAAGTGAATATTTTAGATTTTTATACTTATATTGCTATATTACCACGTTGTTACGGCTGTAATTGAAAAATTGTAAAGGTAAATTTTATTTTCTGATACAGAGTATGATTGATAGAGTAATCGAAATTGGAAGGTGCTATGGCATGGAAATGAATGTGGAAAAAACAAAAGTAATGAAAATTTTGAGACAACCAACCCCATCACAATAAAGAAAGACCAAAAACAACTGGAGAATGTGAAATGTTTTAAATATTTGGGTAGCTTGTTAACAGATGATGGAAGGTGTACTTGTGAAATTAAATCTAGGATTGCCATGGCAAAAGCTGCATTTAGCAAGAAGAAGACTCTTTTTACCAGCAAATTGGACTTAAATTTGAGAAAGAAACTAGTGAAATGCTACATTTGGAGCATAGCTCAGTATGGGGCTGAAACATGGACACTTAGGGCAGTAGATCAGAAATATCTGGAAAGTTTCGAAATGTGGTGTTGGAGAAGGATGGAGAAGATCAGTTGGACCGATTATGTGAGAAATGAAGAAGTGTTAATTAGAGTCAGTGAGCAGAGGAATATTCTACACGAAATAAGAAAACGGAAGGCTAATTGGATTGGTCATATTTTACGCGGTAACTGCCTTCTAAAAGAAGTTATTAAAGGAAAGACAGAGGGGCAGATAGAAGTGATCAGAAGACAAGGAAGAAGACGTAAGAAGATGCTGGATGACCTTGGGGACAGAAGAGGATATTCTCATTTGAAGGAGAAAGCTCTAGATCGCATTAAGTGGAGGAACTGTTTTGGAAGAGACTGTGGACCTGTCATCTGACAGATTATTGATGAATGAACACTAAATAATTCCATCCTTATGTGATCAATACATAAGTTGAATGATAATGTACTTATAATATCCTCATTCAAATTGTATATGGAACTATAGATTAAATTATGTCAGGCATTGAAAAGTGACTTGTAAATTTTATATTTACATTATACTTTTATTACAAATTTATAATGAATACATACTTGTTTATATCATATATTGTTTCTGTTATATGGGACTATTGTCTTTATCCTGGGTCCTATGACCTTGTAATGGATTTGTGGCATGTAAATAAATGGAAATGGAAATTCGCGTTTATAGGTGGCACTAAAAAGTGCGTTTCTTAATGTGATGGCACCTGCCTGCTGCCTAGGTTTAACTACCATCCAACAATGAGAGGAATTTCATATTCAGTGTTGCAGAAAGAAAACTTCCAAACAAATAAAGAATACGTGGAGGGTCATAAGAATATTTAAGGCCGTCATATGAATTCAAACGAATCAAAGGTCAGCACAGTAATACTCATATAATATACAGAAGTGTCACTCATCGAGTTTAAACAAAATATGCAAAAGAACTAAAAATGTACATATGCATTATTTTAGGCTCGACAACAAAATGGGCATTAAAATGTACTCATAACAAGTTTGCTCTGTGCTTAATTAAGCACCACATAATGAAGAATGTAGGGAGAGTGGAGATATGGCTCCATGATTCTGTATTTCAGCATCCCATTGCCATTGTTCATTGTCCATTGTTTATCTTCTGTCAAAATTGCAACATTCTATACTTCAACACTACATGTTTCGGCCTCAAACGGCCATCTTCAGGTGTTTTTATGTTATAGATATTTTACTAAAACTGTGTTAGAAACTGTTATACTGTTTTAATTCGTCTTAAAATCACACGCTATAGCCTTCTTAAGTAAAACGAGATAAAATCCTTTAAAATTTCTGTTGCATATTATTTCACATCACCCGGAGTGTCGTCATTTTCGTAATGATAAGACTGATAACCACGAACATGAGGGACAAGCTGCCGAGAAAAACACCATGATACATTCACGAAAATGACACCCCGGGTGAGGTGAAATAATATGCAACAGAAATTTTAAAGGATTTTATCTCGTTTTACTTAAGAAGACTACAGCGTGATTTTAACACGAATTAAAACAGTGTAGCAGTTTTTAACACAGTTTTAGTAAGATATCTGTAACATTAAAACACCAGAAGATGGCCGTTTGATGCCGAAACATGTAGTGTTGAAGTGTAGAATGTAAAAGTGTTGCAATTTTGACGGAAGATAAACAATGGACGCTAATGGCTTCACGAATTTTAATCCCGGCACAAAATTGAAGGAATGAACGATAGAATGAATGGTCACTTTCACGTCATCGCCGTTTTACTTCCGGGGAAAGATCGTCCAAATTCTCATTGGTTAAGAGGTGGGTGAGCCACAGAGCAAGTCTGAACACTGTGGTGCAGATTGTAAGTCTCAGTCGCCGAAGAGAATCGAATTTCGGTCGCCCAGTCCGTAGGGTCCGTAGCCTATTCCTTCAATTGACTGTGCTATATCGGCTCCTAACTAAACGAAATTAGTAACCACTGAACACAATTTTGTGTACTTCTAGTGTGCCAAAGTTCAATGAAATCGATGATGCACTTAGGACGTTGTTACTTGCGGACCGACCGATAGACAGACGACGGACGTAAAGGAAGTGATTGGTATTTTTCAAAATCTGTTTCGAAACGCACCCGATGCGAATATTTTAAACTAAAAATGTAAGAAAGGGGATCAAAATATGACATTGTTCATGTGATATAATGATCCTACGGGCAGCCCTTAAGACGGTTCTATGAGCGGTAGCACCACAAAGTTCGGCGGCCGGTTCAGAACATTTCTGAGATCCTTGGATTTCGCTTCCTATAATAAATGCAGTACCAACTATAACCATTCTTAAACTACATCTCTACTCATACCTACTCACGACAGTTTGGCTAACATGACCACATGACTATTTTTTTTTCTATTTGGTTTCAGGCAAAGTAAATAATATGACGCACAATGGGGGGCAGGTGTCTTCCTTCACACGTTTCAATTCTGAAATTAAAATAATTTCGACTAATTTGGTGCTAGGAAAATTTATATTACACTTGTCAAATAGTTTTATTTTTTATTTGCGTCGGTCTGCTATATATGATGCTCAGATTGAAGATTAGTGTCTTCTGGGAGGTGACGCCATGAAGTTTGGCAGATGGGTAATGTTTTGGACAAAAGACCTGGTACTTCCGCCTTCAAGATGGAAGACGGAGATAGCAGGATTCTCAGAAAAGCTGGAAACCATCTACTGAATTAGAATGCATCACACCCCAGAAGACAGTAATATTCAGAGTAACTGTAGTATAAAATTAAATGTCTAACGAAAATTCATTAATTTTCTCAGAAAAATTCATCATGTATAAAGCAGACACATAAATAAATACTGACTTTATTAAGATATCACCATCAATTGTGCAGGATTAGGCTCGACTACCGTTTCTAAACCCTCTTGGTGTAGGTCGCCTGTATGTCCTCCGCTAAAACAAACTCCGTGGCTTGAGTCCGCAAGTGAACCATACCGACCGAGCGACCACCGTTGGTCGGAGAAGTTAGTGCCAACTTTAGCGCAACGAATCCCCACTGCCGTTAATTTCGGTTTTCTTGACCGGAGCCGCTATTTCCTTCAAACAGCGCCTCAATTATCCTCACGAGGCTGAGCGGATTCCGTTCCAGACCCACTACTTCTCAGAAAATCTAGTAGCGCCGGGAATCGAACCGGGACCTCAGAATCTGTAGCCAGGAACTCTGACCACAGACGCGGTCCACGTCCTCCATTGGGGAGTCCAAAATTTCTTCGCCTCCTTGTTTTGGCTTCATTCTGTATGTGTCGTAGCCCATAATTTTGGGGGTCTTGAAGTTCACCGATTATATTTTAACTATTTACCTTTTTCTGGGAGCCGTAATTTGTTAGAAGTCGCACAAATGTGGCTTCTACGACCTTTATTGGCTATTACCAGGTTAGATCATTATGCCATTAAGATGTACTACTTTTACTTGAAGTAACTTATCCTCCTTCGGTGCATTGCATATACATGACGTTCAATATACGATACTACGAATGTGCTTACAAAGTGATCTGGCCAAGAACTAGTTCGGGAATATTTCGACGGTCTTACGTCATTAACTCCCCTAAATACCCAACGATACATGCGCGGAAACTCAAATAGATCTTCATGGATGGTGGTCGTTGAACTTATCTCATACAAATGAGAATCGAAATGGTTCTATATTTTATATAAAAATTCTCCCTTGTTAAATTTTACGAATATCAGTTCAGCTGTTGAGTTGTTTCAGGTGTACAGACGGGCGGATGGGTTCTGAATGTGCCTAAAAATCGCAACGAAGGAATGTAAGAAAACTGAGGGGAAAAACGTGTTCTCTTTGATCAGTTCACCGACATAAAGCAAAAGCTTATATTTCCAATGGCTTAGAACTAATGAATGTGTAAAATGTACAGACGTGCGTTTACCTGATAGCTTGAATCTTGTATAGCTAGTGCACCAGAAATGCTATTCCTTTCCCATTGAATGCGTTGTATAGTTTAACGAAACTTAAATCCCTAAGTGGCCCATCATAAATCCTTTAACAACCCATCAGTGGGTCCTGTGTCGATTAACACTGATACAGTGATACAGAAAAGATTGGAAAGCTTTCATAGGGTGATTTTACTTTCGGATGAATTTTCAGTTTTTCTAGATGGACTTACCCCACAAAAATATAAACAGGACATTATATATGTATCATACATGGTTTGTCTGAAATATTTATCATTTGTATTTAAAACTTTAATTTTAATCGGTAGTTCTAGTTCTTTATATACTGTACTAGCCATGACCACTTCCTCACTGATCATCCAGTTCATCTGCATCCTCAAATACCAAACTGCTAACAGACTACTAATGGACGAACCAAAAGGGGTGAAGGCAGACAGGCAGATGTCGAACAGAAAATCAGGCACAATACAGACAGGTATACACTGACAGATTACCATAGAGGAATTCAAGTAACACATTTGCATATGGAATGCCTATAAATATTCTTTTAATTGAAGTGCAGGTAGAAATGTGCTCCATATTTGTTAATGGACCATGAAGCTGACCATTCACCAAGGTTAAGAATGCATGGAGTTTTAGATCAACTCTCTTATATATCTGTATGGCGTGATGCTTATGCACAGGGACAGTTATTACTTGTTATTATCTATAACAACATGGTGGCCCCCCAAAAATATATTCAGTGTTGATTTCACGAAAAGATTGAACTATTTGAGCTATGCATTTAAGTTTTGAATAGAGGAAATGAAGTATTTAAGGTGCCTTTTACATTATAACAGATACAAATATGACAATAGTGTGAATATCTAATGTTAGACTTATACTTTGAAAATGAAATATACTACTGAAAAATGGCTGCAGAAGTGGGCAAATATATACATAATTATAGTTATAAATTGTAGTTCTTGTTAGTCTCGGTATGTACGCTGAAACATTTGAGGGAAAGTAGGCACTAGTTATGCTTTACAGAACTTAAAAGGTAAGGATAAAGTTGTCCCAGTGACTGACTAAATAAGCACTAGACCATAAAGGCGTATGGGGAGTGGATGTATGGATCCACATTTTCTTGACCTTGGAACTTGCTGGAAGTGAGTGATCAGCTTAATGCCCCTGCTGCTTTAACCCCAGGGAAAGAGGAATCCCTGTTCCCATTTCATAGGAGGCTGGGTGGACTCCAGGGCCGGTCTGGACGACATGGAGAAGTGAATTTCTTGACACCACAGGGACTTGAACTCCAACCCCTCTGTCATCCAGCCAGTGGCCAGCCGCTATAGTACTGCGCTATACCAACTCACCTTACCAGAGCTTATTAATGTTTAATTTGATGACACTGGATCCTCTTAATAACTACAATGCAATTATCATTGATATGCCTGTGAACCTAGCAAAGGGACCTGACATCCATGAGTTAAAAAAATGCCCAGTCAGTTTACTGCGATGAGGAAACCAGGAAACAAACACAACTTGTCTGGCATGAGATGAGCTGTTATTTTCAATGCTGCCCCAGAGGTTGCGACCAATGCAGTAACTTTAATACTGATGGAAAGTATGAAGAAGTGCTGACTAGCAGCGGTTTTAATTATATTGTCCTAAGGTCGGTAACCATCATCTTCATAACTGAGATGAAAAGTATTTGCAGAGTCTAAGCCTTGTAGTTTACTGACAGCGTTATGTGAATCTTGTATCAAGGGAGCCATGTAACCAAGCATGAGCTGAGTCTTCATCATCATACTTGTATGTAATCAGAGTAAGTGAATCCATATAGTGTTGCTGTCGAACCAGAGAGATGCATGTAGGGACCGACCTAAGGCCAGATAACCATGTCGTTGCATAACTAAACTCACTCCATAATTATTTTGTAAGTGGTGTAAAAAATGTAGGTGATAGTGGACCCCAGTGTTAAGGATTATTTCCCTGAACCTCCTATTTTCAAAGACTAGTAACACTAACATTGAAGATCAGATTTAGCCCTGACCCAGAATCACCCCCTTAAAGGACCTCCAGCCCATACTGATCCTTTCAGCAGGTGTAGATTGGGGGGGGGGGCAGCTTGAGCAAGCTAAACTGTCACCCCAAGGCACAAAGTAGGTGATAGCAGTGGGACAGTAAAACAGACCACTGTGTAGCAATCATTACAAATAAAGGACAAAAAGTAATACATAAATAAACTTTTAATGGCACATAAATTATGCAACACTGAGAATGTGTTTACAGTACCCTCTGTAGGGGAGTCCAGGATTTGAAGATACATGCATCTCATAAAGTTACGCCCCTACCCCTACAAACATGAGGGCTGGAATGAATATCCAGCGCCCCTGCTGTAATTCTGAACATTGATAGCATAATGCAAACCTGAGTAATCCAAATTCTGGGCACTGAGGATCTCCTGATTGCCATCTACTTCTTCTGGCACACTGTTTGCAGTTGCAGCCATTTTAAAACCTAAAATATCTTCTGTATTCTTTCACTACTATCACGTTTAACAGGAAATATTTTCGTTTCACTTGTAAAGACATTTAACAATTACTTTGTCCTCACATATTTGAATGCTAATCATAGAATATATTTCAAATGACACTCCACAACTAGACCTGCAACTCTTGAAATTGTAGCCACACAGGAGACCTTATATCTGATGAGATTAAGGCAGATAGAGCTTATAATCAGTATCATGCAGTCTGAAGTATGATCTACCCATTTTACAGTGCCTTCATTATAATTTGTTGCCTGGCGTTTTCTTATAACAGTACCAAAAATTAGTCAATACATTTGTGTTCTGGAGGCGAAGAATCTTATCTCTGTCTGATAACCTTTATTTTACACAGATTAACATGCACAGTAGATAATATTGCTTGATATCACACTTCTTATCACCTGAAGTCTTATCTCTCATGTAAGGGGTCTGTTTTCATATCAGTAAGCCCAAGTCATTAAAATGAATCTACATTCTTTTGAACCTGTATGTATAGTTCAGCCACAATTAAGCAGAATTTTTCAAATTATAAATTACAGCTTAAATAAAAGGGGAGGGATAGGTCATTAAATTTAAAATGGTTGTAAACATAAGTCACAAATCAAAATTTTTTATCTCTCTCAATCTGCCTAGCAAATCACAAATCTCTCATGTGAGAGTTTGGGTTATCATGGAGGTGACCATCAGGATTGGTTCTGTATGGGTGTGAAACTTGTTCTCTGAAATTAAGGGAGGAACATAGACTGAGGGTGTTTGAGAACAGTGTGTTGAGGAGAATATTTGGACCAAAGAGAGATGAAGTCACAGGATGTTGGAGAAAACTGCATAATGAAGAGCTTCATAACTTGTACTCTACTCCAAGTATAATTGGAATGATGAAGTCAAGGAGGATGAGATGGGCAGGGCATGTAGCATGAATGGGGGAGAAGAGGAATGAATATAGGATATTGGTGGGAAAGCCAGATGGAAAGAGACCACTGGGAAGACTAAGGCATAGGTGGGTGGACAATATTAAAACGGAAGGGAGGAAGGGGAGGTGGCCCTCAGTTTCAGTCTCCATTGTGAACTGAATGCAATGGTGAGACTGAAATTGAGGGCCACCTCCCCTTCATGGATATAAATATTTACAGGAGACCCAACGGTTCTCTGGGTCATAGAGTGTACCGCAAATCCACCCATACATGCCTCTACCTTAACGCTGCGTCCCACCACCACCCTTCCAACAAGCAAGCTGCACTATCCACACTGGTGCACAGGGCTAGAGCTCTTTGTGATCAAGACAGCCTACATGCGGATATGGTGCTCCAGCAGACCCACAGAGTTCTCAACAGTTGGTCAACATCATCCAGTCTGAAGATAAACCGTATCAGCAGAGTGCTGTCCCGGCACAACATCAAATCAGTGGGTCTGCCTCCAAACAAATTATCCTGTTTCCTCCGGCCGGTCAAAGATAGCCTGGGACTAAGGACACTGGGTGTATATAATATCTCATGCGAGTGTGGCAAGGTCTATATTGAGCACGCGGGCCGCTCCGTGGACATGAGGTTGAAGGAGCATCAGCGGCACATCCGTCTCAAACATCCGGACAAGTCAGCCGTAGCTGAACACAGCATAAATCTGGGACACTGCATTTAGCTTCAGAATACCTCCATCCTCATTACCAAGACCCAATATATGAATCACATCATTAGGGAAGCCATTGAGATTGAACTCCGTCCCAAAAATATGAACAGAGAGGGAGGGTTTTGTCTCAGCACGTCATGGAAGCCTCTCATCTATTCCCTAAAACCCACCGGGACATGACGCCAGATCTACGAGACTACACAGGCCATGACCGACTAACATAGCAACCCCCCCCACCCCCTCAGCTTAAGGGTTAGTGCCCTCCCTTTAATCTTGCCTTTCTCTCCCACGACACAATATCATATACAAAACCCTGCTTCTGTTCCCAGCTCCTTCCCCCTTCCCTCTTCACTGATTTCCCATGTAGCCTTGCCCCCACTCCTTCCTTCACTGCTCTCACATATTTATTTCCAAAACCAGTCTGCTTGTACCGGTTCTCACAGTCTCTTCACTTGCGGACTTCTTATTTTTCCTTCTACCCTGAAGATGGAGGCGATACGTTCCTCCGAAACGTCGGTTAACACATGTATATGGTGCCACATCCCAGAAGACTGCTTTCTTCATAGTCACCGCCGTGAAAACCTCAAATCTTACATATGGTAATGAACCTTCGGGTTCCATTAAATGCTGGGATGTTCTTGAGTAGATGCACAATTGGTGGCTTCTCAAGAAGGGCTCAGCTCCATGAGTGAGTGAGTGACCATCCAGATTAGTCTTACAAGATATGATGCCATGTGTTTGACAGATGCATACCAACAATTCAGAGGAACCCGCTGCCTCTGAAAGTTGGTACCCATTCACCAAGCTAAAAAGTATCACATCCCAGATGACTGTAATCTTGGTTCCTTGATTGTGTTAGGCTATTTTGTAGCATTTTTCAGCTGAAATAGAACTTTTCATCAGCTTGGATTATACAACACTAAATGGTAAGATGACTGTGAAGAATTAAGGTAAAGATATAAGAGATATGATCCTAGAGTTTGCCTGAAGGAACTGAGTAAAGTCACAAAGAAATCAGTCAGGACAGCTGGTCTCCAAGTCGACATTCAAATCTGGAGCCTCATACGTATGATTCTGTGGAGTTATCCTCTCAACTGCATTATTTGGTCTACACTGACTGGACTTGAGAAGAAAAGCATAATTTCACTACAGGCAAATCCTTTGATAACAGATTACCTGCTAGGTTTCCTAGCCATATCTGACATGCTCTAGACATACACAATGTAGATATAAGATATGGATAGACTCTCCATGCACTGAACATCAATGTCAGTATCAGCAAGTTTCCTATAGTGGAATTAATTTGTTCAATAATCTTCGCACTACAGTCAAAAGTTTAAATCACCATATGGAATTGTTTAAGGCAGTGTTACAAGAATGTCTCCCATCTCACATGTGTTACTCCATAAAATAAATTACCTCAATCAAAAGTTCTTAATCATAAATATACGAAAGTAACTACGGTGTTGTTTCTTTGGCATAATGCTATATTATCAGAGGTATCTGTAAACATAATCATATTTATATTTGTATTGGAAACAAGTATTATATTTGTATTATGGCTTGTTCTACATCCTTGGCTTATATCTGTGAATGATCTTTGAGATACAAAAAAATTTTATTCTATTCTATTAGTTCTAACAAAACAGACATCAGGATCATCAGAATTTTTCTTTACTCAAGTCATTTATGAGTACACACTCATTTTGATGCTAATTCTGTGCTCAGGTTGTTATACCATGTGACTATGGGCAATGCTGCTAACAGTTTGGAGGTACATGCTACCTTCATCTTCAGGATCGAAGTGTGTAGGTTGGTTGGTGAGTTACTGTGTACATATGGCAGCATGCACCTCCAATGTGTCAGTAATACTGCCCACAACTACATGGCGTAACAATCTAAAAATAAAATTAACATCAATAATTAACCATAACCAAAGCCTAAAAATCAGTTAATTGCCAGTCTACAAAACATACGAATAATATGATGTTTTAATATACATTGAATTCCTGGTTTCTTGTTACTGTCCCTGACATAAATTCAATATTTTAACTGTGGTACATCAGCCCAGTCCCTGACTCCACTTTATTCTAAGAAATGTTAAGCTTAAAAAAATTGTTATACCAACATATAAGTTAAATACAAATATTTCCTTCACCTTAGTCACAATCTGATTCAGGAAAACACATTACATATGATTTCAGCTTTCTTGGTGATCAAAATACACATAATGAATCCCACAGTCTGGGACATGACACCATGTCGCTGAGTGTTTATCAGTGTTTTGAAGGAGCATACCATCTCCATCTTCAGGGTTAGAGTAGGCACAGGAAGCAGTATGTCTCTTCTTGCTGTCTGCTTGGTTCACACTTTGACCTTGATGCTGGAGGCAATATCTTCCTCCAAAACACAGGTACACTTCTATGAGACTATACAATTTGAATATGTGTACAGTTCATAATACAGTTAAGTACTGACAACCAAGTGGTCAATGCTTGCTACCATTCAGTTCAAAATCCTTGTCTTCTGATCTGCTATCTAAAAATGCAAAGATTATATTACAGAAACACTACAGATTTTCCTGTTGTCTTGCACAGATGTGACAAACTGGCCTTTCCCATTTTGGTACTTAAATTATATTACTCCCCAAAAATAAGAGTAGTCAATACTTTGTTTTAAAATGATTACCAAGGTGAAATAAACTAAACATATTTTGATAATGCAAAGCATTTTACTAACAATCCCAGAAGCTGTGAAATTCACTGTTCTTCTTACTTGTGTACTTCAAACTAACATGTAGTAAAGTATACATGAAAAACAGAGTAAGTGGTGTTTAACCAATAATCTACCATGTGTTTCATTTACAAAACTGTATTATATATATATATATATACACACACACACACACACACACACATATATATATATATATATATTGGTCTCTGACGTTAAGGGAGGAACATAGACTGAGGGTGTTTGAGGAGAATATTTGGACCGAAAAGAGATGAAGTGACAGGAGGTTGGAGAAAACTGCATAATGAGGAGCTTCATAACTTGTACACTTTCCCGAGTATAATTAGAAAGATCAAGTCAAGGAGGATGAGGTGGACAGGGCATGTAACATGAATGGGGAAGAAGAGGATGTCTACTTCTATGGATGACCGTTTCGAAGTTTGTGGTGTAGTTAAGCCAGGTTCTTGCACAAACTCTTTAAGAGGAACAATAAATGATGAAGTGGACAAGTTAACTAAAAATGATTTTTTTAATAATAAGTAGTGGATCTAATGACATTAGTAAGAGTGATACAAGAATAGCATTCAGGAATATTGTTAATTTTATTAAGAATATTAGACACACCAATGTAATTCTGATAGGTGTTCCTCTTAGATATGATGCTCCTGGTTGCTCACAGTTAAATGACGCAATCAATCTCTTTAACAATAAGTTGAGTAAATTGACCAAAATCTTTAGTCATGTATCCATGAGTGAACAGATCAACAATAGATTGTTATACACCAAATATGGCTCACATTTAAATACACTAGGCAAGGAAATATTTTCTAATCAGTTAGTCTCCCAGATATTTTTATTGTTGGAAAGAGTTAAGGTTAAGCCTATAATCCTAGAATGGTATGATAAGGTAACTCAATTGGTCGTTCCATCAATTGACAAGGCCTCTTCGACATAAACTTCAACTCAGCACAGCGTTAAACGCTATAGGAATTTACCAATAACTAGAAATAACGATTTTTTATGGAACATTTAAATGCCTACTCAGATTCCTTTGATAGTAGGACTAAAATATGCCTTAAGAATAATAATTCGATGAGTATTTTCCATCAAAATATCCGTGGTTAATAGGAGAAAAGTAATGAAATTATATGCGCACTGTATCCTCAATCCCCACATTTGCTATGTCTATCTGAACATCACCTTGAATATATGAACTTATGTCATACCTATATTGAACATTATAATCTGGGTGCCGAGTATTGTAGGAAATCTATCAGGCAAGGAGGTGTATGCATTTTTGTACGTGACTCAATTAACTATCTAAATGTGAATTTAAATGCTTTTTGTAGAGATCAGGATCTAGAGATATGTGCAGTCAAACTT